TCTTAAATATACATCACCAAAATCTTATGACAAAGTTGAACATGTCACTCCATCTCTAATTTTTGAAAATACGTATTATATCACTGAACCTCCTCGACCTTTCATGCATAGTATCATTCAAATAGGAGGTATACATTTAGGCATGCAGGCTGGAATTCCTAACGTATGTCATATATTATAACACTAACAATACTAAATAATTATAATATTAATTTTTAGTATGTATATATAAATATATGTATTTAGTACAGTAATATATTATATTAAAAATAAGAATAAAAATTTATGATAGTTATTTATACGTAGATGTATTCTCTCATTCAAATTAAGATAATTATTTTCAATTCGAGAATTTATCTTATTTAAAACATAGATACTTATAATTAATGAGAACAATAAAACGAAGGACACAAATATATATAACCAAATTAATAAATATTTTAATTAAAGTTATTCAATATAAATATAATCACAAAACTATTACTTCTTATAGGATATCTTAGACTTCATAGAATCTTCACCTTATGGAGTTATTTACTTTACATTTGGATCAGTTGTTACAATGTCTACGCTACCAAAAGATATTTTAAACTCATTTAAAGATGCATTGGCTAAAGTACCCCAAAGAATTTTATGGAAATTTGAGGGTGAAATGGATGACAAACCAGCAAATGTGATGATTAAAAAATGGTTTCCACAACGTGATATTTTGTGTAAGTCAAACACTTACATTATATTTGCATTTTAAATAATTTAAATATTTTTAGTACATCCAAAAGTTAAGCTATTTATTAGCCATGGAGGTATATCAGGAGTGTATGAAGCTGTTGATGCTGGTGTTCCAGTACTTGGATTTCCTTTGTTCTTTGATCAACCAAGGAACATAGACAATCTAGTCGAAAATGGCATGGCACTGTCTTTAAATTTGTTAACAGTTACAAAAGAACCCTTTTACCAAGCAGTCATGGAATTGATTAACAATAAAAAGTAATTATTTTGTGTTTTTATTTACATTTATTTAAAATAAATTATATTTAAAGTATCCGTTTTTCAATTGTAATCAATTGTAAAATTATTTTTTTATATTTATACAGGTACACTAAAAATGCTAAAATTGCATCGGCAAGATTTAAAGATAGACCTATGACTCCTGCAGAATCTGTTGTATATTGGACAGAGTATGTAGTACGTCACAAAGGAGCACAACATTTAAAATCTCATGCTCTTAATCTAACATGGTATCAATACTTTTTATTAGATATTCTTTCTGTTATAATTTTAATTTTATTCATTATTTTTTATACGATTTATATATTATATGTTTTTGCTAAGTCAGTAGTATTTAGAAATTTAAAAACAGTCAAACAAAAAAATGAATAATTAAGAAATAATTTTTATTAATAAATTATTATTTTTATATAACTTGATATATTATTACTTTGTGAAATAGATAAAAAAAAAAATACTTTGATTATGTATTTTCCGCAATGGTCGTCAATGAGTAGTTCTAGGCGCCATTTAGTTTTTATTTCGGCAACTTTCAAGAATAAAATATCCAATATCATAATTTAAGTAATGATTAGTAATGAAAAAATCTTAAGTTAATGGAACAAGTAAATTTATTAAGTTATAAATGTCTACCAACAAATCATTCATTTTCTGTCTGTAGTAGTAATGCATAAGTATGTATAATATTAAATAATTGTGTGTAAATCTAATGATTTTACAGCCATTGAACAAATTTGTAGCTAGTATAACCTTATCAGTTTTAAATAACATTTATATACCGACAGTCATGAAATACACTACTATGTATTTGATTTCATTATGCATTTTGGCTACTATTATCGTAGTGCCAATAATAGAAGCTGCGCATATATTGGCAGTGGAAACCGTTGGCGGAAAAAGCCACTGGAATTTTATGAAAGCAATTCTTCAAACTTTGATAGATCATGGACATGAAGTAACAGTATTTACTCCATTTTTGGAAGGAAACAGAACAAACTACACAGAAATAGATACATCACAAGTAACTCCTATGCACACAAATAAAGGAATAACAGATGTAAAAAATTGGCAAAGTCCATTAAATCTAATTACAAATTTATACGAAATGACTATTTATTATTATAGTGTTATCATCAATTATGAAAAAATGCAGCATATTTTAATGGAAAATTCAAAATTGAAATTTGATGTTCTTTTTGTTCAACCTCTTGCTACAGAAGATATATCTCTGATTGCTACAAAATTAGGTATACCATTGATTTATGTTATACCAACAACTTCTTTCGGTTATTTAGAATGGGAAACTACTGGACAAATATTAAATCCTGCTTATGTAGGCCACTTATTAAGCGAGTATTCACATCCACATAAATATTTAGCTAAAAGAATTTTTAACTTTATCTTGTTCTTTTATGAAAATATTCGAATTAAATACGATGAAAATATTTCGAAGTTTAAAAGTCTTAAAAATTACCAAAGAATAAAATCTACAAAACCATTAATCATATTTCAAAATACACATCATATTACTGATCCGTCAAAACCTTTAATGCCAAGTATTATACGCATTGGTGGTATACACATTAAGCCACATACAAGCATACCTTCTGTAAGTAGAAACATTTTTCATTTAAGAAGTATACATTGAAGGATTGATTAAAAAAAATTGATATATTTTAGTATTACTTACAGTTAAAATAAAGCAAATAAATATAGGCATTTCATTTTTGGAATATTATATTTCAGTTGAATTTCTATTTTGCTAATTTTATTTTTGAGTATTTATTTTAGGAGGATTATTTTTAGTAAAATATTAAATTGATTATTAGGTATAATTACAGAATATACTTATAATTTTCAATTGATAAAACATAATATAAATTACATAGGATATTTTAGAATACATTGAAAACTCACCTCATGGTGTCATTTATTTTTCATTTGGATCAGTATTGATAACTTCAACATTACCTCATAATGTCCAAAAAGTATTTAAAGAAACACTAGCAAAACTTCCACAAAGAGTTTTATGGAAATATGAAGGTCAAATGAAAGATAAACCAGATAATATAATGATAAAGAAATGGTTCCCACAGAGAGATATTTTACGTGAGTTTATATGTTTTAATATTAACATTAAATTTTTTCTATAAAACGTAAATATGTTAGTACATCCTAATGTAAAGTTGTTCATAAGTCATGGAGGTATATCTGGGTTATATGAAGCAGTAGATGCTGGAATTCCTATCCTTGGTTTTCCATTATTCTTCGATCAGCCAAAAAATGTAGATAATTTGGTAGAAGCTGGAATGGCCTTGTCAATGGATATATCGTCAATTACACGTGATACATTTTATAACGCAATAAATAATCTTATTAATAATAAAACGTAAGTAAAGAATGATTTATTCAATGACTTTAATGATATAATTAAAAATGATATAATTTAGACAAATATAGTGAAATACTACGCTATATTTTTTCAGATTCATTAAAAACGCTAAAATTACGTCAGAAATATTTAAAGATCGACCTATGACACCAAAACAATCTGTGGTTTATTGGACAGAGTATGTCTTACGTCATAAAGACAGTTCTCATTTAAATTCTGACGCTCTTGACTTAAATTGGTATCAGTACTTTTTATTGGATATCTTTGCTGAAATACTTCTTGTATTATTTGTTCTATATATTTTGTATAAATCATTGATATAGGTTCTCAAATTTATTTTTCGATTTTCAAATCAATAATCTAATTAATGTAAAAAATGAATTGATGTAATTACTTATTATATTTTACTATTATCATCTAAGTTACTCTTTAGTAATCGAATTTTTAAAATACATTTTTATTATTTTCGTATTTTAGGTCTACTAGATCAGAGGTTCTCAAAGTCAAATGAATCACGGACCCCCATCTAAAGACCTACAGTTTTAAAGACCTAACCCTGATATGTGCTTGCGGACCCCTGGGGGTCCGCGGACCACACTTTGAGAAACTCTGTACTAGATTATTGAGTGTATACTGATATTGAGATTTTTTTTTTGACCCCTATATTTCTTTTTATTTGTCCTACGTAACATTTATTACAACTATCACATTTATTTTATAAATGCCTGATTTTCCCCCTTCTTCTACCTTATCTTTAGGGTTACTTAATAAATCAATGTCAATTATCTCAATGAGATATTGAGTGTATAGATCTTACAACAATTTTAAATGATAAAAATAATACCAAAATAATTACCTTAAAATAATTTTACAATAATTGGCAAATGGTTTATCCTGTAATATTTAAAGATTGTAAAATAAATGACATGATATCAGATACTAGAAAAAAAATCACCATTATTGATCTACAAAAGAAGTCCTAGGATTAATGAGCAATTATTCATAATAATTTTTATTTAATTGATATTAGACTCATAGATAAGCATTTATTTTATCAGTTATATTAAGTTTTATAGTAATGTGTTAATGTAGTAAAATTACATAATATATATTTTACAGTAATATTGTAATTTAATTGTTACCACATACATGTATTTTTATTTATAATAAGATATTTTATAAATAACTAAAAGTAAATACTAATAATGAATCACTTATGGAAGAAAAATGTTCGTTAGTGACCAATTCATAAAATAACAGTCTTGTACTGCAAGACAAAATGTATAAAATATAATAGAATAAATAAAACACAGAACATTGGCGATGAGACATGGTTAGAAAAAATATAAATGATGTCTGATATTGATGATCATCTCTATTATAAAAGACGTTTCGATGCAAACCTATTAAATATTTTTTGAAAATAGTGTATTTTGAAGTCAAATTACTTATATAAAAAATATTGGGACGTTTTTCAGTTTTTCATCGTTAAACTATTAAACATATTTAATTCGATATTAAGTCGAATTAGATATTAAAAACGCAGAATTTTCAAAACTTGAAATAAATTATTTTGTTTGTTGAAATTGTGAATTTTTAATCTCTGACGGTCAATTCTTCATAGTTGAACAATCGTCAGAATAACATTTTTTTAATTTCAATTATTTTTAATTTTTTTAATTTATGAAAAACTAAAATGAAAAGTCTCAAATATGCATTAATCGTTGAATTTGAAACAGAAATAAATATGGAGGATATCAAAATTTTATTTTCAATCTACTGAAAAGAACGAGTAATGTTCTTATCAGTATTACAAGCAACTATATATTTTAAAAATATTTTAATAATTATTAAAAATAACTCTAAATATTATTGAATGTGATAGAGGACTGCTTATTTGTGCGTAGATGATTTGGAAGATCGTGTAATGTTTAATATAAGGATGGCCGACCTCAAGTAGTTGGGATAAAGGTGAAAAAAAAAGATTAAAAAAATACTCTAAAAAATATTTTTTAATAATAATAATAATATTAACAATAATATTAAACAATTTGACTTTAATTTTAACAAACTTTTTATTTAAATTTTAGATTACATAATTGAAAAAATAAAATAAAATGTTTAAATATATAAGATGTTAAGTATATGTATAAGAATAAAAATAAAATTACATTAATTCTGATTTAAAAAAATATTATAATGGTAAATCAAAGCAAAACTAAATAATAATTATGTTTTTAATAATCATACATGTTTAAAAGGACGACTGTATGGCGTAATCGAATCAACGATATGACCGAGAGAATTCTCTATTAGATGTTTTACACTGAACTCTTCAATCACCTCCAGTCAATCATTTCAGATAGCTGCGCGCACCTGTACGGCCGCCTAATATTATTTTGGAGCGGCACACCATTCTACTATTGACTGTTGTACTGTGCGTTACATATTTTCATTGATAAAGGCGATAAAGCTCACATAATATAAAACAAAATGAACATGTAATAACAATAAAATATCATACGATTTCATTATGATATTTTTTCGAATGCTACCTCTTATTAAACGTTTAAGTGTTACGAGTATCACATTTGTAGTTAATAATTTATTCACACTATGAAAAAACTTTAGATATCACTTTATATAGTTTTTTGTGTTATATGTATAATAATAATAATAATACCTAGTAATATGTATATAGTTGTTACTTCAGTTAAGTTTAAACATTGGATATAATTGAAACTGTTGGGAAAAAATTATTTAAATTTTTACCGACTGTAAATAGATTTTTTCGTCCAAAAATAGAGAATATTAGTTTTTTATGTAGCTATCTACGATACAATCACCTTTAATTTACATTAATTCGTTAATTATTAGTGACACTGATTTTGAAAATAGTTGGTATGAAGACGGTTGAGGGAATAAGAAAAATTTTTTTTAATTATTTTCTGTTTTAGCTCCGATGCGAAGCTGAGAAGGAATTAATTTTACTATGATGTATTTTTTTTCGTTTCTGTTATCAGTTTTTCTCAGCTCCCTTGTTTCTCATTTCCCTTGTTTCCCGTAAATGGGGGAAATCTTCAAAAAAATTTAAAAATCGCTAATTTTCAAAAAAAATAAAAAAAAATTGAATTCATCTACAAAAATTTGCGTCGGCATAGTTGCGTCAATTATAATGATATCTGACAATGATTAAAATCACTATCATAAAAAATGCTTCGATGCAAATCTGTAGATAGTGTTTAATTTTAAAAAATTAGTGGATTATTCCAAAAGCTATATGATCTGCTAGTTCCTTATTAATATCTTCATCAGGATAAAGTATGTCAAATGAAAAATGGGATTATTAAAAAATATTATTTCTCATAAAAAAATTATGTTGATTCATACACTTTTCAATGAGTTATAGCATTATAAATGTAATTTTTGTTCAATAATAAGTTGATCGATTCTACAATAAAGTTTTTTATTAATACTAAATTGTATAACAAATACACACATAAACAATAAACAATTAAAATTACTATCATAAAAAATGCTTCGATGCAAATTTGTAGATAGTGTTTAATTTTAAAAAATTAGTGGATTATTCCAAAAGCTACATGATCTCCTATTTTCCTATTTATATCCTAATTATAAGTTTTATGATTTATATGTGTAATATATTTATAATATATAAATATATAAAGGGAAATGGTTTTATTTAAAAAAAAAGTATGTCGAATAAAAGAGGTACATAAATTGTATTTATCATAAAAAATTGTATTGATCCATATATTTTTCAAAAAGTTATAGCATTATAAAGTAAAAATATAAAAAAGAATTTTTTTATCAACTTTGATGTCCGTTTTCATGATGAAAACAAAATAACATTCGAAATATTTTTTTTTCATTATAAAGTATATTACATAAGCTTTAATTTAAGATTTAAACATTGATTTTTTACACGAAAATTACATTTTTTGTTCAATTTTGACAGTCATTTGCACATAGAAATATATCATCGGAACAATTTTTTTTTATTATTATCTTATAGTACATAATGTAAGCTTTAATTTAACATATGTATAAAGAATGCAATATTTTCGTAACATTTTCAAAAATTAAGTTGAAAAAGTTCTACTTTTTATACATATGTATCTAGTTTTGAACGCCCTCTCTATAGGGAGAAATTGCCCGATTTAAAAAAAAGTATTTCGAATGAAAGGAGTATATATAATGTATTTAAAAACAAAAATTTGTGTTGATCCATACATTTTTCAAAATGTTATAGTAATTTAAAGTCGAAAATATAAAATCGAAAATTTTAACACAAAAATAGCATTTTTTTAACTACGGCAGCCGTTTGCACCTAGAAGATAAGTCGTTTTAAGCTTAGTAACAACCAAGGGAACATAGTTTTAGTCATTAAATTTTTGCCCTTCCATGTATAAAATAGTACCGGGGCTTCTGCGTATACTCCAGAAATGCTTAATAATTGTATGCACAACAAAATGAATTTTTAATAATATAATAAAGATGTCATAATAGTAATGGTACTAAAAATATAAATTTGATTAATTTATGTACAGGGAACATGACCTTGTGAGGACCAGTTTTTTGACATGGAATTAGCAGGTCTGTTTTTTAATTCACCATCATATTAATATAACAACACTACATTTTACCATTATAAATATTATTTATTCAAAATTCATTTGATATTTTCTATGGTTGATAAAAAGAAATATATTTTTATAAAAAAAACTTTATTTGTATATGTTTGTACGTGTATTACTTTTTAATTAGAATACAATACATTCTAAACAATAATTACATTTTATCATTTAATGTATTACCAAGAAATCAATTACTTTTTATTCGATTTATATTTTACCTTGAAATGATCATTAAATTTAAGCATTTTTACACCAATGAAAATCAGGACTCTATATTTATGATCATATGTGTAGTCAGCTAAAAAGAAAAATATTGAAACTTCTATTTAAATAACATTTAATCTTAATTTAAACGTGGTATATAATTTTCTCTATCATGAAGTACTGTCCTTTTTTTTCAATAGTGTTTTATATATTAGGAATTTTTTCAATAATACCAGCTAGATGTGCTAGAATATTAGCTATAGAAACCATAGGAGCCAAAAGTCATTGGAATTTTATGAGAGCAGTTTTGCAGACATTAACAGACAATGGACACCAAGTAGTAGTTTTTACTCCGTTCTTGGATGGAAACCGAAAAAACTACACAGAAATCAGTTTACCACAAGAAATACCAAGGCAAATTAATTTAGAAATGGATTCAACACTTCAAAAATGGGAAAGTCCAATCAATTCTATTTCGTATTTGGCTAGTGCGGTTAAAAGGTATCGTGATGTAATCTTTAGTGAAAAACAAATACAAGAACTCGATTCTAATTCCAAATTCGATCTTGTCATTATAGAACCTATCACGACAGAAGACTTCTCTGTGATTGCTACAAAACTCAACGTGCCCATTATTTACGTCTCACCAACGACCACTCTTAGTTATATGGAAAGATTTTTTATCGGTCAAATTCTTAATCCTGCTTATGTCAGTCATTTATTTTATAAGCAAACTAATATAACACACTCGTTTACACATAGGTTCAACAACTTTATTTTGTATGCTTTTGAATTGTCGCGTTTGTTTTACGAAGAAAGCTTCACGCACTCTGTTCACTTCAAACGATATGAAAATATTCCACCTACTAAGCCATCCATAATATTTCAGAATATACATTATATAACAGAACTATCAAGACCATTTATGCCAAATGTCATACAAATCGGAGGTATACACTTAAACTCACCTAAAAGCATACCCAGTGTAAGTAATAAATTATACAATATTTAGATATTAAGATTAAAGGACAAGGTGATTTCTTCAGAAATAAAAATAAACTTTAACTTTAATTATCTTAAACGGAAACCCTTATTGTTAGCTTAATAAAATGATAAAAAAAAAAAAAAAAAAAAAACCAAAAGCTACATNAAAAAAAAAAAAAAAAAAAAAAATACAAGCAAAAATTGTTTGTAATCTTAATAATGTTTTTTCTCTTAAAAAATTGTCTTAATATTATTTTATTTAATCAACCGTTTAATTTTTAAAGTTGTTTAAAAAATAAATTTAAAGTAAAACTTTATCATAAATTTAATTTTCAAAATATCGGAGGCAGTACTAATTTTTCAATAGACTATAAAATATTTTTCATAATCGAGTAGCTATCAAAATAAAATTTACACACAGCTGACTGAAAATTTACCATAGTAAACTTACGTTAAATATAATGCGTTCAAATTAGAGGTTCTTATTTAAAAAAAGTTGAAGTTATTTTTATCCTTAAGAGTATATATATTTGACTATTTAATATTGTAGAGGTTTTTAAATCAAATAATTTATATTTTTGCAAAAATTACAAACTTTCAATAATTCTTCAAAAACAAATATCTTATCTAAAATCGATTTGCTGTATAAATTGTATTTATAATTTTTGAATAATTTTTGAATAATGTGAATAAATATAAGTATGACAACAATTTTCATAAAATGAAATGAAAAAAGTTACTTGTTTTCTGTATGAGTTTTATGAGTTTATTCTGTTTTCTGTATTATATATGTAAATATTACACACATTCAGTATATTAACAAAAAAAAAAAAAGAGTTAAATTGTTTCATCATTAAATGATGACCTATAATTTGCTACAATAAATGCTGTTATAATAATTTATCATAATATTGTATAAACATAATTGTAACTTCAAGTCATCAATTTTCCTGTGTGTTGATATGTTACACATTAACTATACACGCAATCAGGTACCCCACTATTAATCTACGACCTTATCCACTAGAAAGAAGCCTAGTTATTTGATCTGATGGTTAACATTGTTATTTTTTTTTAATACTGAGACATCGTAATTAAGCACACATGTGTTTTTAACATTTGAACGTATTATACTTATAATTATGGCTTTATATATATATATATATATATATATATATATATATATATATACATTATAGATTAATTTCAGTGAAAAATTACTTAATTTAATATATATTTATATGAAAATATATAAATTTAGGTTGTATATTAATTGTAATAGCCTTGAAAATAATATTAATTGTTTATGCGTAGTTATTAAAAGCTAGTAGTATATAAGTCATTGAACACGTTATTATCAAATTGTTCACTATGAAATGTATTTCGTCGTCTCTTATTATAAGTACATATACAACACTTTTGAGGATACCCATTGCCAAAAACGCACAAATATTAGCAGTAGAGATTATTGAAGGTCAAAGTCGCTGAAATTTTAGGAGATCAGTTTTACAGGCGTTGACAGATCATGGACATAGAATAATAGTTTTTGCTCCGTTAATAGAAGGGGATGGAAATAATAATACTGAAATTAATATTCTCAAATACCACTAAAAGTTGAGATGAAAGTTTCACATATGATCAACTTATGCCAAATCTAATGAATATATTTTAAAATATTACAAGTTTAAGCAGAGAATATTATGAATTTTTTTTTAAACTAAATCAGGTGAAGAAAATGTTAGTTAACAAATCAGATAACAAATTTGATATTGCCTTCGTAGAAACCTTAACGATCGAATGTAATATAGTTTCAAAATAAACATACCAATAATGTATATTGTGTAATATATTGTGTACACATTGTAGATATCCATTTATGTTTGCTAAATAAGATACCGAGTGTGAGTAATGTTTTGCATCTATGTTAACTTTTAAAATCAATATAACTTTCTAAAATACAATAAAAATTAATTACTTGTGGCTAATATTATTTAAAATTAAAACTATATAAAAAATATTATTAATTTAAAACTAAAAATACAAAATATAATTAATTAATTTTTAAAATTGATTTGTAAAAATTATTTTTGAATTAATAGTAATAAAAGTAATAAAACTAAAAATATATAAGTATTATTTTAATTTTAAGGCATCTATATAAGTATTGTTTATATAGAATGTTCCAGAGTCCAATTCAGATATCTCGGCGGATAGATTAGTACACGATTCTATTCATGTGTGTAAAGTTATTGATTCCATTATTAGTGGGAATAATAACATTAAACCATTGAAAGTTATGCGATTAGGTAATCGTAACCATAATAAAATCCGTCATATTGAGGCAGTATTTGCTTCGTCAGCTGATGTGTTTGATATTTTAAAATCTAAAAAAAAATTATGATCATTGCAACCGCCTTCAGTCATTCGTATCAGTTCAGATCGTACGTAACATCAAAGAAATCATTTGAATAAACTTGATTTGGATGATTTGTAATGATTTGGAGATTCGTAGAAGTAATGGGGAAATTTATTTAGTTATAAAGTATGTGAGAGGGATACCGGTAATTATTTCTAAGAATAATTGTTCAGTTAATAAGTGTGATCAAAATTTTTTATAATTTATGTTTTTACCAAAATGTCCGTGGTCTTTTAACTAAGATTCCATTTTTACGTAATGCTTTATTAAATGTAAACTATGATATAATTCGCTTAAACGAAATGTGGCTAAATAACAATGTTTTTGATGCGGACACATGATTTTACTTATTATAATTTATACAGAGTTGATCGTACTCTGTCTAATGGCAAATCGCGTGGTGGAGGGGTTTTAATTGCTGTAAAAAAAAAAATATATGTTGTGAATTGTTACATGTCCCTATTGTTGATGGAATTGAGCAAATATTTTTAAAAATGAATCTTAACAATATAAAAATAGTTATAGGCTGTGTCTATATTCCACCATATGCAACTACGGAAATGTATTCTAATCATTGTAATGTCATTGAGTCTATTTTCTTTAACAGTCCTAACCATCTTTTCATTATTTCTGGTGATTTTAATTTAAATAATTTTGATTGAACTACTGATCCTAATACTTAGGATCACATCACAGAAAGCATGTTATTTAATTCTTATGTAAATTTATTAAACTTAAAACAAGTTAACTGCATTCAAAATAGTATTGGTCGTACTCTTGACTGTATGTGGCTTAGTGCTGATGCAGAACTTACTTCTATTACTCGTTCCTTTGAATCCCTTGTTCCAAATGTTGATAAGTATCACCCGCCTTTAGAAATTATTATAATATTTAACGATTCAACGGAAACTGTTTTCATTAAGTCACCTCAGGTATATAATTTTAAGGATATTTCTTATTTCCTTTCTAACATTGATTTTGAACTTAATCTAAATAACAATTTATCTTTTGAAGCATTAGTTGAAAAGTTTTATGAAATTATTTATCACTCTTTTTTTGTATTTGTACCCAAAACTAAAATTTATGATAATTACTCCCCTGTTTGTGCAAATTCTGACCTTAGAAAGCTTATTATTGATAAAAAATGTGCACACAAAAAATATAAACTTAGTCCTTCTCATAAAAATTATCTTATTTTTTCTAACCTTCGGAAAAAATGCAAATTTCTTATTTCAATTTGTCATTCCCAACATATTATTAATATTGAAAATAGTATTCAATCAAATATAAAACCATTTTGGAAAAATTTTAATTCCCTTAGAAAATCGAATAGTATTGTACCCGATTGTGTTAAATATGATAACCTCTCATCTACTAATACTTCTGAAACTGTCCAACTATTTGCTAATTATTTTTCAAGTATTTATGTTGCTGATTCGATGAACATACAGCCCCAAATTTTAAATGTAGCTTCAATGAATAATTTTAATATTAATCTTAATTATTGGAATATTGATAAGAATGAAATATTTGATTTATTAAGTAGTTTAAATACTCACGCAAGTACCGGACCTGAGTATAGCTCTTCATCAATTATTTGTTTGATTTACATTTTTAATGATTTTATTAAATGGTATACCATTTAATATGCATAATATTATATTATAATTTGAATACTGTTACTATTAATTTTTGCTATTTGTTATTGTTATTAATTGTCATGTACATATTACCATATTTTTTCTACTGTCTATTGTTATATTTGCACTGTAAGATGTATTATTCTAAAGGGTTTTGTACCCGTTAATATAAATTAAAAAAAAATAATAATAAAATAAACAAATTTATAAATATTTTAATATTACAACGTTTGCAGAAAATATATTATAATTGAACAAATTATGACCATGTCTTTCAAATTGTGTATCAAATTAATCACAATTAATTTTTTATTTTTCGAAAAATGTAAAATTTCAATACTACGTATAAGCCAAAAAATATTATTTTGATAATATATTAATTTTTCTATTTCACAGGATATTTTGGAATTCATTGAAAATTCTCCAAATGGAGTAATATTTTTTACTTTAGGATCAATAATGTCTGTATCTACTTTACCAGACCATATTCTCAATACATTAAAAAAAGCATTTTCAAAATTTCCTCAAAGAATTTTGTTAAAATTCGAAGGAGAAATGAAAGAAAAACCAGTCAACGTAATGACAAAAAAGTGGTTTCCACAGCGTGATATACTAAGTACGATAATTAATTATATATTAATTTATAATATAAAACTCAATTCATTGTTTTTCACTTCAGTGCATCCGAATGTTATCCTTTTTATAAGCCACGGAGGTATATCAGGTATGTATGAAGCTGTAGATGCTGGTGTACCTGTTCTAGGGTTCCCTTTATGTTTTGATCAGCCAAGAAATATTGATAGTTTAGTAGAAGCTGGAATGGCTTTATCTATGGATTTGATGTCACTATCCGAAGAACCATTTTACGAAGCTGTAACTGAACTTATAAATAATAAAAAGTAATTGAAACATTATTTTAATAGTTATGATCATTTAAAAAAATCATAGTTATTATTTTTAGATATACTGAAAATGCTAAAATTACATCTGAACGATTCAAGGATAGACCAATGTCGCCTGCTGAGTCTGTAGTTTATTGGACCAACTATGTCATTCGGTATAAGGGAGCACATCACTTGAAATCACAAGCTCATGAATTAACCTGGTATCAATACTTCTTATTAGATGTCATTAGTGTAATATTTTTAGGTTCATTTACATTATTATATATTTTTATTCGATTAATAAAAGTTGTAAATAGGTTGATTGTTATAATTTCAAAATATCATAAAAATGAATTACAGTAATAAATTAAATTTTATGAAAAACAATAACACTTGTAATATACTCGTCACTATCATAATATGGAATAACAGTCGGCTACCCTGTTTGTGTCCACAATACTGCTCTTTTTAATCTTTTCGTTTAAGATAATCAACATTTCCTTTATATATTATATTCATAGAAGATCATCATTATTTTCTAACGAAAAATTTTAATAAATAACTTAGAGAAATATTTAACAAACTAATACTGTTTAACCATATTATATTACACAGGATTCAACTATAAATTAGTTATTAATCACTTTTAAAGACACTCTTTACCAAGAGGAAATATATTAATTATACTTGTCATCTCTTTTTAGCTTCGGTGCGAAGCTGCGAATGTATTTAATTTTACTATGATGTGTTTTTTTTTGTGTCTGGTACCACTTTTTCTCAGCTTTTATCGTACTGATTTCTTCTAACAATACGTCAAAAGATCACAAATCGTATCTAGTCGAAGATATTCCCCTCAAAAATTAAAAACATTTCCCTCGTTCCTCGTAAATGGTGGAATCTCCAAAAAAATTACAAATTTAAAAATCGTTAATTTTTGAAAATTTTCAATTTTTTTAAGTTAAAACTGCTATGACTTTTTTAAAAATTACCAAATCAATATAATTTTATTTTGATAGATACATGATGTCTTTACCTATCATTTGATATATTTTTTTATAAATTTGACCCTTTACCTGTCTAAATTTTTCAATTTAACTTTTGAAAGTGTTCCAAAAATACTAACACTTTTATATATACTTTAAATTAAAGCGTATGTAATATACTTTATAATGGGGAAAAAAACTTTTGGACTTTAATTTGTCTTCACGGTGAAAATGGCTACCGTATGCTATTTTTGTGTTAAAATTCTCGATTTTATATTTTTAACTTTATAATGCTATGACTTTTTGAAAATTTATGGATTAATACAATTTTTTTATAAAAAATAATACTTATATACTTCATTCATTCGTCATACTTTTTTGTAAATCGAACCTTTTCCCTTAATACAGGGAGATTCAAAACTTAAAAACTGATATAAAAGTAGAACTTTTTTAATTTAATTTTTGAATGTGTTTTGAATACTGACACTTATATATATATATTTATATATATAAAATTAAAGCTTATAAAATGTACTTTAATATGAAAAAGAAAATTTTCAGATTTTATTATGTTTTCATGGTGAAAACTAACATCAAACTTAATAAAAAAATAAGATTTTGGTAAAAAACTTTTTAATTTTATAATGCTATAACTTATTGAAAAGTGTATGGATCAATACAATTTTTTTATAAGAAATAATATTTATATCCCTCTTTCATTCGACATACTTTATCTTAAATAGGATATAAATAAGGACATAGAAAATCATGTAGCTTTTGGAATAATTCAACAATTTTTTTAAATTAAACACTATCTACAGATATGCATCGAAGCGTTTTTTATGATAATGATTTTAATCACTGTCAGATAACATTATACTTGACCCACCTATGCTACATTCCCCCTGTGCTGTTACCCCACTGCGCTGGGTTTTTTGTTCTAATCTTAATAATTAAACGCAATATGTCAACCCAAGTCTTAAGTGTAAAAAACTATATAAACTTTTTATAAAATATCAATGATCTAACTCTATCAATTAGCTCCGTACAAATATTACTGATTTAATTAAATTGATATTTTATTTTTAGTAATCACTCAATTTTTCGAATTCCCTACTTAGATTATGAACTCAAATGATAAATTTTAAATCTTATAATTTGTATTAATACTAGTATATACCTTGATTTTTCCAGTAAGTGTTTAAAAGTGATTATAAGCCGTCTTGTTTATTTAAATTAAACTTGAGTGTAACTATTCACTTCTTGCACATGAATTTGATAAGTGAAATCAATGCGTTGCGAAAATGTATAGATTCAATATACTGTATAAGTATACTAAGATTAAAGAGAGCAATGAGAGAGATTTAAGCCTTTTTTTGTTCCCTTTTATAATCCACTATTTTGTTAATTTTTATAGCTATGTACAAATGCAAGAAAATATATTATTATCTCTTTATTAAATTGACTTGTGTTATTTAATACATATTATCTTATAAAATTAATACTAAATCCTGGACAAATAATTCATTATTGCATTACAATATTGATACATCTGTAACAACTTATACTATTATTCATGTGAATTTTATCATTTATATGAAAGTTTAGATACAAAATATAGTTCATTGCTTAACAATAAAGAATCATAATGTAAGGTTAATGTATCATAAAAATTTCAATACAGTACGGTCTACTTTAGTTTAAAAGTAGTTTCAATTTAGCCTGCACTTTTTTGTCTTTTTTAACGCTTATTTTAATATTGACGGCTTCTGTAATATTGAATCATATTGAAAATTTTATTGTTTCAGTCGTTGAGACTATCTCGCAAAAAATTACCTAGAACTTTGTGAGATTTATACTAAAATCTTTATCTGATCACGGACATCAATTAAAAGCTCTTACGCCATTTCCAGATGAAAATCGTTTCAACTACACAGAATTACATTCATCGTCTAACATATCAATCAAGATATACGAAAACTTTATTGACAAATATTTTATTTTAAATCCGACAATTAATTATTAAGAATATTAATTTTTATAATTTATAACATTTAATTTTAATTTGTAAAGATTTTATTGTAAAAAGTTTCATAAAAAAAAACTAAACCGTTTGACTCAAAATGTAACTATAAATATTTTTCATAAATTTTAAATTCCATTATAATAAATTCGCATGCCAATAATTATCATTCATTATTCAAAATAAACCTTGTGACAAAAATCAAAAAAAAATTGTCATTCATTATATATTTGACATTATGTAACCTTGTACATAATACATAGGGATAATTATATGAATGCAATCCTAGAAAATCTAATTATTAAGTTTATTATAATGTTTTTACATTCACAGAGACTGATGTTCTTAAAATGATTAAAGCATAGAAGGAGAACATTTAAAAAGGTTTGATATTATTTGTTTTTACTTTAGTTTAGTTTATATTAAAATTAAATAAGCCATGTTTACTTCATTAATAAATGATAAAAGAAAAGAAAAGAAAAATTTTACGTTGTTTGTATATTTCAATTTAATTGTGGTCATAATATGTTTTTCACACTGTATGTTGAATATTGGTGGCTCACGTATCCTAGCCATTGAAACAATCGCAGGAAAAAGTCACTGGAATTTTATGAGATCCATTTTAAGAACTTTGAGTGAACGAGGACATCAAGTAACAGTATTTACACCATTTCCAGATGGAAACCGCCCTAACTACACTGAAATAGATTTGTCTTTTGAAGTACCTATAAAAGTTGGAATGAACGTACAAGATATGTTACAAATATTTTCTACGTCTACAGGTTTTTTACCAGTACTTCTTAATATGACACGTTATACTTGTGAAATAATTTACCAAAATGTATACATGGAAGAAATCTTAAACGAAAGCCATAAGTTTAATTTCGACTTAGTCATTACCGAACCAATGTGTTCTTCATGTGTAGATTATGCGGCCGCTAAACTAAAGCTTCCCATGATTTACCTTATGCCATCGCCTATGATAACTTATAAGGAACGAGAATTCTATGGACATATACCAAATCTGGCAACAACTTCTCATGTAATGGCTCGGTATGCAAGGCCCCGCACTTTTTGGGAACGTTTCAGTAATGTAAAATTACATTTAGAAATTTTATACGCATTAGCCACTAATGAAAAAAAATTAAAGAATCTGTATCCAATGAATTTTGATTATATAGATTCGATAAGATCATCATTGACATTTATTAATACTCATTACATTACCGAGGTTCCTAATTCTCTTCCACTAGATGTAGTTCAAGTCGGAGGTATACACTTAAGTATACCAAAGCCTATTCCAAATGTGAGTACAATTAAATTACCCAGCATTTTAAATTATTTTAACAACTATCATATTAAAGTCAAGGCTAAGCAAGTTGATGATTTTTCTTAACTCACTAAAATTTAATTTAATTAAAAAAAATTAACGAATAAAAGAGAAATTAAGTCAACGTAAAATTTTAATATCTTGGTTTAACTAAAGTTTTACTTAACTTAAAATAATTAACTCGTTTATGTCCAGCCTTGATTAGAATTGCATTAAATTTTTTCATTGAACTAGAAATATCCTTGAGATAAGTAAACACGCAAAAGAAGTAATTCATTTAATTAAATATACCAATCTTTTTTTTTAGTAAATTATGTTTGTAATTAGATATTTAAGTAACCAAACTTGAATTCGTATTAATTTTAATTTAAAAGTTCTATTTTTTTCAAACTTGCAATCATAAACTAATTTAGTCTTAGAATATTTTCATTAATGGAAATTAATTGTTAGAGCTTTGTACCACTATTTATTTTAAAAAAATCTTGAAAGATGTTTAGTTATTTTACTTTTATTTTTAATTGAAATAATTCTGTAAAAAATTATTATACTCTTTTAAATATTGAATGATGTATTTTTATTTCGATTGTTTGCTTGCTAATTAGTGTAAGCGACATTTTACCTAAAACATTCAGACTCATTTAATTTAAAGGATCCATAAGTTACTTTAATATTTTTAGGAAAAAAATATGAATGTTTTAGTTTTATGTTTTTAATTATTTTAACAATTATTTATAAAAATGTCGCTTATACCAATTAGCCTGCAAATAGTCGATTTGTTGAACATAAATTTTTGATTAATTTTAATATTTTTACTATTAAATTAAATAGATTAATTTATCGACCATATTAAGATAACTTCCCCATCATTTTATAAAAACCATATATCATATATTTTAAAATAACATATTAAATTTATATAGGATAATTCATTACTTACGAACCACTAAATTTATTGAAAAGTAAAATAATATTGCATATTAAAATATGGCAATATTGCCATCATTAAAAAATATTAATAACTTCCGAAAGTTGTCATTGACTAGTGATTTTCTAAATTAGATCATTATATACTAAATAAACTATTTAATTATGTTTGTTGCTATTTAAAAAAATAAAGTAATACCCTTTTAAGGTGTGAGAGATAAACAAAAAAGAAAATACTTTATAATTGATAAATTGAGTGAATCATGTACTTTAAAGGATAAAACAAAAAATTATAAATACTATTTTTATTTTTCGATTAATTAAGTGATTCATGATAAATTAATTACTCTATAGCAATAATTATTATAAATATACACATAAAAATGTATATAAATTAATGATCTATAATTATTAAATTCTCCCATTATCAAAAATATCAGTATAATAACTACTATCTACATTACCGAGGTAAATATACCAATTTTATGTTGAACGTATAGTTAATATACTTTACAGTCTTAATCTTGTTGGCGTATGTTCTTGTTAACATTTATTTAATTACATTTAAGAAAACTACGTATCTATTTAGTATCTATAAATGAAGAAATATTTAGCTATTGAATATAAATTTAGCTGTATTTGCTATTAAGTGCTACGTATTTATTTTATGGTTCTTTTAAAAGTGTTGTATGAACTTGTCATAATATTTTTTTTTTTTATTAAAATTAAATGTAACAAAGATGATAAACAAATAAACCTAATAGTTTTTTCAAATATTAAATTCATCTATATATAGTGAATCGCATTACTAAGCATGTTAATTGATAATAGTTTAAAACTTTCTATATTTATTTGTATATTTTTTGTATTTTCGTGTGATTTGATTCCACGGGTTAAAAGTGTAAGAATACTTGCCATTTTGCCCGTAGCAGGCAAAAGTCATTGGAATGTGTGGAAAATTATACTTCAGTCGCTAGTAGATAATGGCCATAATGTAATTGCATTTACGCCATTTCTAATGGATATTCTATTAAATTATACTGAAATTGATATGACTAATGTACTACCTTCAACAATTGGAAAAGGTAAGATTACAATTTCGTCCAAAAAATACAAATATTTTTGATACCAGATTTATCAACACTACCACATACTTTGCAATACGGAAGAAAACTTTGTACTTGTATTTATGCCGATGAACGAATTAAGCAAATCTTAAGTTTGGGACAAAACGACTTTGATTTAATTATTACCCAGTTGGGAAGTTCAAACTGCGTTTCGTACGCATCTAAAACACTTAGTTTGCCTATTATAAAAATAGTCACTTCACCTATTATAACATATCATGAACTGTCATTATACGGTCATATGTCAAATCTTTCAACAACTTCTCACTTGTTTACTGATTTGAGCTTCCCAAAAATATTCTTAGATAGATTAAAGAAATTTTTTGGCTTACATTTTTTCATACTACTTATTTATTGAAACTGAAAAAGAATTAAGAAATCAAAATTTGGAAGTTTTTGATATGATTGAGCTACCCAAGCCCTCTCTAACATTCTTAAATACTCATTACATAACTGAACCATCCCGACCATGGCTTCCTAATGTTATACAAATTGGCGGTATTTATTTAAGATCACCAAAAGTTATATCAGATGTAAGTAATATATGCGTTTATACAACTAACACACTAATATAAACAGGCATGCAAAAATATAGTCTTATTTAAAAAAAACAGTTTTTATTATTCTAAACTATGATATTTTTGTTTCGAACAATTTTTTTTTACCTAAAAATTTGATGTTTTAAACGCATTACTTATATAAGTAATACTTCTGTGTATTAGTTTTTAATAAATGTCACCATTTTTAGTCTAGTTAAAAAGGCTAATCATAATTTTGAATTTTTTCATTTGAAGTAAATTAATGGAACTCTATATCAAATGTTAAAAGTAAAAATTCTCAAGACCAAATCGATTTTATTCATCAAGTTAAAAAATTCAACGTAATTTTAAAAATAATAAAATTTGATTTTTATTTTAATTTTATTCAAGTTATAGTAACAATTTTATTGTATTTGATCAGATGTGTTTAAAATTGTATTATTCTTAGTTTGATTTAGTTATAATTAATATTTATATGTTAATAATAATTACTTTCTCATTTCCATCATGTATTAATTAACATCTAAATTAACTTAGTAGAAAATATATCAAACCTATTTTTATTATTAAGGCATTATGAAATAAATTAAATTACAGCATTACTATATATTATATAACCTCCCGCTTAAATTATTACACTTTTCACTCATACGTTAACATAATCAGTATTACTTGATCTCATCGTGCGAGTTAATCTCAATCATAACAGACACGTATCAATTATTATTATTCTTTTTTTACAACATTCAAATAAATAAGAAAAAATTTACTTAAATAAAAATAATTTTTTTTATAAATCTAAATTGTGGAATAGTGATAAATATTATGATATTATGCTTGTTTTTTTCAATAGTGCTTCTTATATTTTCTAAGACAATAGATGGAGCACAAGTGCTAGCAGTTCAATCTTTTTCAGGTGTAAGTCACTGGAAATTCACTAGTGCTATACTTCAATCATTGACGGAACGTGGCCATTATGTCACTGTATTTACCCCGTTTTTAAATGGTAACCGAGAAAATTATGTGGAAATAGATTTATCTAAAATTATTGAATCAAAAACAAATATGAGTGCTATGACTATACTTGAACATTTAAGAAATCCATATCATGTTATACCACAAATGCATAAATTAAGTAAAAAAAATTGCGAATTAATCTTTAAGTATGACCAAATGCAACAAATTTTGTTATCGGGTTCAAAATCGATGTATGATGTTGTTATAATCGAATATTTTTATTCGGAATGTATTGGACAGATTGCTTCTGAGTTGGATATCCCATTAATTTATACAAATCCTACTTCAGGTATCAGTTTTATGGAACCAAAAATAATAGGCTATGAATATAGTCCAGCTTACGTTGGACACATACTACTACATCCTTCACCATCAAAATCTTATTCTCAGCGTTTTGCTAACTTTATTTTGCATATTTTTGATATAATTTGGGAACTCTATGAAGATATTACTCGAAAAAATAAAATTATAGGTAAAAGAAAGAACTTTAAATCTGTGAAGCCATCTATAATATTTCAGAATAAGCATTACATCACTGAACCATCACGACCATATCCGCAAAATCTCATACAATTAGGTGGTATTCATTTGAACTCACCTAGTTATATTCCTAGTGTATGTTAATATATTCAATACTTTAATTTTCATAATCTATGTCTTATTTAAATCATTAAATTTATTTTCAAATTTTCCTAATGTCTAAAATCATTAACAATTTATTTTATAACAATAAATAATACTAATGACATATCTAAAAAATTCTCTCAAAAAAGGCAGTTAAATTAATTTTGTAGTACTACAGATTAAATTCAGTATGTATTTCTTTCAACAGGATATTTTAGAGTTCATTGAAAATTCACCACATGGAGTGATCTTATTTACTTTTGGATCTGTAGCCACGATGTCTACTTTACCAGATCACATTCAAAATGCATTTAAAAAAGCTGTTGCCAGATTACCTCAACGTGTTTTATGGAAGTATGAGTGTGAAATGGAAGATAAACCGGACAATGTTATGACAAAAAAGTGGTTTCCACAACGCGATATTCTTTGTATATTAATTTATTACTATTTGTGTTTTTATTTTATTAATTTTATACGTATAATGTGTAGTACATCCGAAAGTCAAATTGTTCATTAGCCATGGTGGCATATCAGGAGTATATGAAACTGTTGATGCTGGTGTTCCAGTACTTGGATTCCCTTTGTTCTATGATCAACCAAGAAATATTGAAAACCTGGTAGAGGCCGGTATGGCAATGTCCATGGATTTAGTTACAGTCACTGAAGAATCATTTTTCAAATCGGTCATGGAGCTTATAAATAACAATAGGTAAATTAAACGTTTATTTAACTAAAGACGAAAGTTGGGCAAATTAGTTATTTTTTTCTAGCTTGTAAAATTAAGTTAGTTACAAAAAACAAGTTAAGTTATAAGTTACTAAGTTTTATTATTTAACTCATAATTATATACATAATTATCTGAAGTCCAATACCTCCACAATATGTAACTCTTTTTTTTTTTTTTTATAAAAATTTTTCAAAAAAAAATTATTTTATTTCAGTACAATACTAATTAATCTATCAACCACAATTACTGTGTACTAAATTAATTTATTTTTAAAAAATTACTTAGTAAGTTAAAATTACTTGACGAACGATAAATTAAGTTAATGTGCAAAAAAAAAAAGAATATAATTAATTAAGTTGAACAGTTACTTAATTTGTAACTTTTTAATGCGTAAATGTCTGATCTTGTTAAAAAAAAATTCAACATTTTTCTGTTAGGTATACTGAAAATGCTAAAATTGCATCTGAAAGATTCAAAGACAGACCAATGTCTCCTGCGGATTTAGTAGTTTATTGGACCGAGTACGTTATACGCCATAAAGGTGCTCCACATCTTAAATCACCTGCTCTCGAATTAACTTGGTATCAATATTACTTGTTGGATGTTATGGGTGCCATAATATTAGGAATTTTAATAGCTTTATTTATTATAAGCAAAACATTAAGGATTATTCGTAGTCTATTATTAAAAAATCTAATTAATAGTAAGAAAAAATCAGAATGAAACGTTTTAAACACCAATTTTATTTAACACATAGGTACTAAACAAATAGATTTAATTACAACAAAATCTTTGAAAATTTAAATTCATCAAACTAATTAAATTACCTTCCTTATAAAAAAAAACACCTCTTTAATATAAGTTTAACAAAAAATCGAAGTGCACCTGGTTGAATACATTTTTTTGTTTAATCAAAACTCTTAAATTGATATATATCATTGGGAATAAGTTTTTGGTAAATTATTTTTTCAACTTATGAATATGGGGTAATTACAATGCATATTTGAAACTTAACTAATTACCTATCTGCAATTCGTATCTTTTGTTTAATTGTGTATTTTTTTTTGACCTTAAAATTTCCATTTGAAATATAATTTAATTGTACATGTTTATTGTCATATAACTATGTTCAATGTGTAATTGATGCAAGGAATAATATAATATTATGAATATTTCTTTGCTTAATAAAAAATATATGAATGAATTTTTCTTTTATTTACCTATTAAAAGGCAACTATTAAATTTGGCGTACAATAGTATTTATAAGAGTTTAAAATTCTTAAATACAATGTATTAAAATTTTAATATTTTTTAAATATTTTCAAAAAAAAATGTCATGTAAAATTATTAGTTTATTATTTTTTTTTTAAACCTTATGACAATGATTACAAGTTACTAAAAATTTACTTGATTTAATTGATAAATAAATTATCTTTTTAATTTTTGTAAATCTGAATATTTTGAAATATTAAAGAATTTGATATTAATAAACAATTGTTATCAGTTAAATTAGGAGACGATGCAATACTCTGATGTAACGTTACCTCAAAGTATTGTATAAGTTCCTAATTTTATAAAATGCACATTTAAAATTTTTTCCGTGAAACAAAAAATATTAATGTCTATTTTTTGTTTATACTATATTCGATGCATAATACCTTGATAACTTTATAGATGATTATTTTTTCATTTGATACTAGATTCTAACTTTTGTTTCAATTGAAATATCTACCAACCTTTATCTTGTAGGAAATTAAATTATCTGATTGACCTTTGTTTGGGCGAGGTGCTAAAACTATATGCCGCTTACCCCGGCACCTGTGACTCTATTTATAAATGGACTGTATAAGAAAGAGGGAAAGGATATTCAGACCAAAACGCAAAAATCCCGAGTAAGGAGGGTTTGATTACGCTAATCTAAAAAAATATATATTTTTTCAATAAATAATCAACTTTACCTGTTTGGCACAAAAATAATAAATAATACACATTATACTAAAATTCACTTAAATTTAATTTCTCAATAAAACAATTTAAAGAATATGAACTTTTGTGAATAGATCTGTTCTTAAATTTAACAAAAATTACACAAAAATAACCGAAATTACTTCAAAACACTAACTTACAATACAATTTTTGCCTTTATCTAATAGTACATAGACAGGGAAGGTAAGGAAGGAAGAGTGCATCCGACAATGGTAGTTGGACAGTGAGTAGATGCTGGAGTTGCGTCTAGAGCGCACCACCTAATTAATTCTAAGCTAACCATCCACCCCCTTGAAAACTCCCGCTATCAACCACTGACTGAATTTTCTTTACTATGAAGTCGGTAGATAGAAACACGTTAACGAGATAACGAAGTCATAAGTAGAGCAGTAATTTTTTAATGAACCAAAAACACGTGACGCGTTGTGAACCACACTATGATAGTGTCGTATTTAAGGTATTACCTATAGTTCATTCACATTTGACCATCTACTTAAATTCATGCATAGCCAGTGCAGCCTAATCCATCACAATGTCTGATAAATCACAGGAAGACACATTTCTAAAAATATAATCAGCAGGATTTTGATCTGTAAGAACTTGTCTCCATTGAAATGAATTTGTAATTTCTAAGATTCTAGTAGCTTTAATGGATAAAAATGATTTCAACGATAACGGTGTTTTGATTCAAAAAATAACAATAGACGACTCTGTCCAAAGCACTATATCATTATCTGCTATTGATGTTATGATTTTGTTCAGTTCGGTTAATACCTCAATTAGTAATTCAGCCAACAGTGTACTGTTCGAGACTTTGACGTGAGAAGTGTGGAGGACCATTTACCTTTTGTTGTGCGGTTGAGTTTAACTGGGAGTAGGTGTCGGAGTTGCGGCTAGAGCGCTACCTAATTGATGCTAAATTAAACAACCTTTATATAAAAATAATTGGAAAATTCTCTGTTAATAAATCAATTGTCTATTGTAATATTAAATATTTGTCATTTGAACCATGTCTGATTTCTAATATTTTGCTATGATGTATCTAAACAGTTTCTGTTATATACCATTTTTACACAACAGTTGATTTTTTATAAAGATGATTAAAATTTATAAAAAGTATAGATTGTGAAAATAAAGATTGTTTTATACAACAATCGTATTTTTGTCAAAATAACTAACAAATCATTTTTCACTTTTAGAGATTTATAATAACTGCAGATGCTTCAAAATTCTATATAATCACAGATTAGTCTTTATAAATTAACATTTTAACTAATCAATTGTTTATTAAAATAATTTTGGTTGTTTAAATTAAGTTTTATCATATGAAGGTTTGAATTTCCCATATTACTACATTTGCACTAACATAATATCATTTTTTTATTCACGACTCTATGAAAAATTTTCTTTTTGAAATTCAAATATCAATAAAAACTAAATAATATGTCTTGATAAAATATTATTGTTTTATTACTGGATAATAATAATACCATTTTAAGTACAGAGGAATACTTAATAACTCTTAATAGTTTCTCATAAAATAATTATTTTTAATTTCCGCACATAATTAATATCAAGTAATTTAATAGATCATTATAATGGTTTTTAAAACCATTAGTAATGTGTTTATATTTTTTTATCAAGGATATACCGTCAGTATTTATCTGACACAAATAACAAAATCGAATTTAATAGATCAGTAGTGTTTAGAATACGATATATGCAGCATGTCAGTTAGTTTAAATTACTTTTTAACGTCACTATATATCATAGTTGTAGTTATTTTAAATTCTGTATCTCAAGGAAAATGCGAACGAATACTTGCTTTAGAACCAGTGGCAGGAAAGAGTCACTGGAACTTTGTTCGATCAGTTTTACGGACATTGACAGACCGAGGACACAATGTTACAGTTTTTACACCATATCCAGAAGGTAATCGGGATTTCTATACTGAAATTGACTTTTCTAATGTGTTACCTGATACTGTCGGGCATAACATAATGCCACTTCTTGAACATCTACAAAATCACAACAAATTGTCAGTTCCAATTCTTCCGTCAGTAATAAATCACTCACGATCTATGTGTAAACAAATTTACAATGATGAACGCATGAAAAATGTTTTGCAGTCGGGTCGACAAAATTTTGACATAGTGTTAATAGAATATTTATGCTCAGAGTGCGTATCATATTTAGCAACTGTACTCAAATTACCTATGATACATGTAGTGACATCTTCTATTGTCCACCCGACAGAATGGTCTCTTTTTAAACACATGTCCAATCCATCAGTAACCACCCACTTGCTAGACGATTCGGGTACTCCTAAAAGTTTCATTGATCGCTTTTGGAGTTTTCTATTTCACGTTTATGCTAAGTACTTATTCAGCAAAACAGAATGGAAACTTAAAAGGGAAAACCTTGAAGTTTTTGATACTGTAGACTTAGTCAAACCTTTACTAACATTTTATAATACACATTATGTAACAGAACCATCTAGAACTTGGCCCACAAATGTCATACAAATTGGTGGCTTGCATTTGAGTTCTCCCAAAACTATACCAGATGTAAGTATATATAATTTTTCATAAATTTACATAAATAATTTCATTATTAGTTTTATCAATAAAAATTTGTTTCATTTATTGTATGTGAGCAAAAAATTTTAAAAGCTGATAATATTTTTGAAGTACTATATTTTGTATATTTTCATCCCTTCAAGATTAAAAACCTTAAAATTAATTTTTTTAAATTAGAAGCCTTTATTAACTTTGATTGCGTGATCGAGAAAAATATTTTTTTGTTATCATTTGTTATCTCTTTTTTATTTTACTTGATAAATCATTCATATGTTAGATCATGTTAAAGTTTAGTAATTTGTTACTTCGGTAGTGATATTACATTGCTAAAAATAATATAAATGTTCATTTTTCCAATTTATCATCACATAAACCAGTTTCCTAATAATTATTTTAATAGTTTTCATTTATTGTGTATTTATGATATGTATATTCATAGCTACAAGCAAAGTTAAATCTATTTTCAATTTTCCGATAACAATAGCAGAGGTTATTAATAAAATACAAACTTATTACTTTCATAGTACCTTACTTATCACTGTCTCTGTAGAGTTTTTTAAACTGGAAAAAGTTGACTAATGTTATATTAAAATCTGGTTTGAAAAATATATCATATCCGAGGATGTTATTGTCATAATTCAACTAGTGTTCGCGTAGCTCAATTAAGATGCGTTATTAATATTGGTTTATTTTTTGTTAAATATTCTTTTATTTTATGAATATGAGTGAAGATAGAATAAATACTTTTTTTTCGCGATTATTTTGCAAAAAAAAAGTATTTATCAAAGTAAAACAAACAGTTTGATTAAATCCTATATATATATATATTTATATATATTTCCAAATATTGATATAGTATTAAGAATTTTCGAATGTGTAAAAGTGTCTAATTGTGCTATAGAGAGATCGTTTTCATGTCTTGGAAAATATTTTGAAATACTTCTTTTCTGAAAGAAATGAACAAAAAAACAATTGAAAAAGAACAAAATTACTAGTATTTTTTTTTTTAGTCCACATTTGGTTCAATTCGTTTTATAAAATTATACAATCAGACTATTTTCAAAATTTTTCTGTAATTTCTGTTCTTTGAATTATTCATACAAAAAAAATTAACTGTTAAAGCTGAACTATTATTCATCAAATTTACAACCTTCTATTTCCCGAACTTATCATGCTATAGAGGATAGTGGCTCTCTCTCAATGATGGATGGAACTGGTATTATAGCTGGCTTGCACCAGAATAAGAAAATCTCGTTGGCACCCTGTCGATCGAACCCAGGACTCCGTGTGCCGAAAAATATATTTCTACATTGAAAAGGCAGGTTCTTAAATTATTAAATGTATTAATTTTTAAATAGGTGTTTTGTCTATAGACAAGAGAAATAATTGAAAAATTATAGTTATAATTAATTATTATTATAACGCAAATTAATATTTGAATTTTAAAAACAAATAAAACTGATGGTATTCTTTGAATTATTTAAAATATAATTAAACATAATTGGAATTTGAAATAATGATAACTACATCAGTATATTATAATATCTCAAATTAACAAACAAATTTGAAATTATTATTTTTGCTGTTAACATATCATTAATTTCATTTTTTTCAATTATACTAAGGATTTTCTGTCACATTTGAAATCGAAACTATGTAAATATATTTTTTCTATCAAAATAAATATTTACGGAATGTTTTAAATGAAATGGAAATAAATTTGATTTCGATTATAAATCCCCTCTCAAATTTGTATAAATAAAATGAAAAAAAACCAACTTACGACCTTTCAACTAATAGATAAACAACTGATAAAGACAAAATTATAGGAAAATTTCGATTAAAACTAGAAATAATACTTTTTGATTATTTGAGTTCCTCAGACAATGTTTAAAAAATAATCAATGATTTAAATTACTTTTTCTGTTAAAAAACGAAAAACTATTAATTTATTGACAAAACTACAATTCTCCATGTAAACACTTAGTTTTTTATAATAATTGAAGTTTAATCTAAAGTTTATTAGCTTCAATGCGAATATGAAGGTATTAATTTTACTATGGTGTGATTTTTTTTGTGTTTGTTACCACTTTTTCTCAGCTGTCGCCGAACCGATTTCTTTTAACGGTACGTCAAATAATCACAAATCATATTTAGTCAAAGACATTATCTTCAAAAATCAAAAAAATGTCCCTATTACAAATTTAAAAATCACAAACTTTCGACATTTTTATAATTTTTTTTACTTAAAACTGCCATACATTTTTGAAAAGTAGATGAAACAAAACAATTTTTATAATAGATACATTAGATATTTACCTATCATTTGGTATATTTTTTTGTAAATTTAACCCTTTATCTGCCCACGGGGGAGGATTCAAAATGACAACTTCTGTACAAAAATTGAACTTTTTCAAATTAACTTTTAAAAGTGTTTCAGAAATACTGATTCTTTTATATATATATATTTAATTAAAGCTACTGTAATATACTTAAAAAATTAAAAATTTTGGACATTATTTTGTTTTCATGGTGAAAACAGACATCAAAGTTCATAAAAAAAATACGATTTTTGTAAAAATATTCTTTTTTATTATATTTTTAACTTTATAATTCCATAAATTTTTTAAAAATGACCAATTAATATAATTTTTTTTAATAGTACATAAGATAATTACCTATAATTTTGTTTTATTTTTTAATTAATCCGACGCTTTACCTACCCACATGAGGGGATCTAAAACCTTTTCACAAAAAGTTAACTTTTTCAACTTAACTTTTGAAAGTGTTCCGAAAATACTGACACTTTTATATACACTTTAAATTAAAGCTAATGTAATATACTTTATTATGAAAAAAAAAAATTTCGAACTTCCTTTTGTCTTCATGGTGAAAATGGTTACCGTATGCTATTTTTGTGTTAAAATTTTCGATTTTGTATTTTATTTTATTTTAAAATATTTTACAAAACTTTTTGAATTGAGAAAAAATGTTTAAGTAATTGGATTTTTATCTCAATAAATTAAAAATCAAACGTTACTTATATAATCTATTACAATAAAAATGGAGAAAATATATTGAGATTTTTTGATAAATTTACAGTAAGTAATAATTATACAATTTTCTGACTGCATATTAATCTTAACAATAATATTTTTTTAATTCTCATAAAATTTTCTATTTAATAATGTGTAAATTTCAACCTTGAAGTTGAGCTAAAAGTTATAGTAACAAATTTAACTTTTTTTTTTTTTATAAACTTTTAAATAATCAACTTTAAATGACCAAAAAAATAGGTTAAAAATTATATTTTGCTTTATTTATTTTTAACACATTAAAAATGAAAGCCTGTAAAACAATTTTGTTGTGTTTTAAATTATTTTTTATAGTAATAAATCATTTTAAAATATATATTAATAATTTCTATTTAACTCTTGGTGTTTAAAGAGATGATAAAATTGAATAATAAAAGTATATTTTGGATTCTGATGAAAATTTTTTGCAGACCATCTGTCATAAACCATTCATAATTAACAACAAATTATTATCTGAAGAGTTTGGTGTCAAGCTCTTCAATTTTTTACATGTTTGCCATAAAAGTAATAACTACTTTATAATTTTTTTATAAATTCTCTGAAAAAATTACAATATTAAATTATTAAATATCAATCTCATACAATATTTAATTGCTTTAATAAATATTTATTTATATATTTTACTTCTAAATCAAAAACCTACTAATCAAGAATAATAAAGGAAAATAATTCATTTTGATTTTGGAATAATTCACCAATTTCTTAAAATTAAACATACAGATTTGTATGGAAGCAGCGTTTCTTATGATAGTGATTAAAATATCACTGTTCGATATCATATATATTGTGCCGTGACCACACTGTGCTACCGATTTTATAATAATCAATATATACTTTTAAATCTACAATGAATGTTTTTTATTTGAGAGTTAGAAAAATTATAGATACAACTTGTGTTTTTCAACCTATAAAATATTAAACAGTTCGATTTCTTTTATAAATATAATAATAATTGATCATGTGGGGCTAATATCAATTAAAATTAAATATATATTTAAAATATAAATTAAAAAATAAAACACAAAAGTACTTTATTTTTTTGTAATTTTAAATAATTCTTTAATAAATATTATTGTTTTTACGATACTTTCGGTAAGATTTTTTGTTAAAGTATGTGATAGTTGTCATAATTGTTGCTTATAGCGTCTACAATTTGTAAGAATGTCTTTGACAGTCAGTGGAGGGGTTACAGGTTGAACATATAGTAGAATCTTCTTTCTTAATCATGGACTAATATTTTATGGTTAATTCTGAGACACTTAATTATAGCTTCTTTTTGTCTAGACATTTTCCTATAAGAACAAAAGTTAACATGATTTTTTAATTTTTATAATTACAATCTATAGATGAAATCTTGTAACTAAAAATTTTTCTCGCCTCAAGGTAACTATAATTATAAGCATAACTAGAAAGAGGATATAGGATTAGACTTCTAAATGTCAATAATAATTCATAATATATTAAGGAGGGAAAATTTTCATCCATTCCTTAGAACGCCCTGAACTACTAAACATTTTAAAGAATTAAAATGAAACATAACTAATAAATAATCTTATGTCTATTATTTATATGATAGAGTATAAAAAAAATCAAATTTCGTAGTAGGCAATTCATCAACACACTTATTTAAGTTAATAAATTATATATTAATAATAGCACTAATTATAAAAATTATTTGTCGTAGGATATTTTGAAATTCATTGAAGAATCGCCTCATGGAGTTATATATTTTACATTTGGTTCAGTGGTTTCTATGTCTACATTACCAGATTATATCCAAAATGCTTTCAAAGAAGCACTGTCTCAAATTCCTCAGAGAGTTTTATGGAAATATGAAAGAGAAATGAAAAACAAACCTGCTAACGTAATGACAAAAAAATGGTTCCCACAACGTGACATTCTCTGTACGCAAATTACTATTTTTAGTACTATTACTATTATGATATCATTATTAAGATATTTAATATTTTTTGTGTAGTACATCCAAATATTAAGCTTTTTATTAGCCATGGAGGAATTTCTGGAGTGTACGAAGCAGTGGATGCTGGTGTACCAGTTTTAGGGTTTCCATTATTTTATGATCAACCAAGAAACATTCAAAATTTGGTAGAACATGGGATGGCATTGTCAATGGATTTGTTTGCTGTATCTACAAAATCATTTTACAATGCCGTTAGTGAGCTTATAAATAACAAAAAGTAAGTTTGAGAATTTTACTTATTCAGTGTAAGTCATAACGGATACTGCTTATAACTTGATTAATTTTTATAAACCATAGTAAATATGTAGCTTATTGTAAAAAAAAATTATTTCTAATAATAGATTTTCGGGGTAACTTTTAAAAGTTAAATGGGAACCTATAATTATTATTTGAGAATTAACCACAGATGTACAATTATTGTAGAATGTTGTATAGAATTTTCAGTAAGTAAGGAAACGGGTTTATATTGGTCTATTTATTTACAACAATTGACATGTTTCCTTACACACTGAACAATCTGTATATGTGGAATTAACAAAATAAAATGTTGATTGATCGATAACGAGTAATTTATTATTACTACTTATGAAAAAATAAGCGAATAAAAGTGGTTATTATGTGGCTATTAAAAGAATCACCATTTATTTCATTACCTCAATTTATCATAAGCCATTGATAGTCAGAATATTGTTTTTGGTAAAGGCTATTCCTTTCCTTTTCATATAAATATTGTATTGAAAATATAAGTTGTAAAAATTCTCTCTGAAAATATTTATGACTAAATTCAAATAATTTTTTAAATCTCTCCCTCCTATAGAACTATATCGTTTGATCTAAATTTTAAATAAATTTTGTTGAATATGAATATGAATTATTCGTAATTTTTATGGGTAATGTCTTCAACTAGATACAATTTTTGATCTTTTGTGGTATTGTTGAAATAAATAGGTCCAGTGAGAGCTAAGAAAAAGTGGTGACAGACATAAAAAAACACATCATGGTAAAACCTTCTCAGCATCGCATCGAAGCTAAAAAAATTTAAATATAAAAGTATAAAACGAAAAAGGTATTTATACAAGTGCAGGTGTAACATAAGCTTTAGTTAAACATAAATTTGAAGCTCATAGTATTTCTTGAACATTATCAAAATTTAAGTTGTAAAGGTTAACTTTCATGCAAAAGTAGCAATTTTGAGATCCCTTTCAGGGGTTTTCACAAACATTTTTCTGTGTTCAGACACCACTTGCAATAAATATTGTTTTTGTTTTTCATTTTTTATTAAAATATTACTGTAATTTTCAATTAAATTTACGCCTCTTTCTGCAGCATCGTTTGTAACTTTTAATTTTTTTACGGTGTTTAATCCTGTTATGTAGTCGTCATTATGTTCCCACAATATAGGATCTATGTTTAGAAAATCCATGCTTATATTAAAACTTTTAAAAAAGTTGTTTGATTCAGTAGTTTTGAAGTCTTCTATATTCATATTGATTATTATTTTATTAATATCTTGAGATTGTAAAAAATGTTTTTTTGTTCCTTCAAATTTATCATTTGTTTTAAATGCTCAAACCATTTTTATTTTATTATTTATAGGAACATTTGTACCAAAAAATGCTAGTGCTGCATTTTCTTGTAATATATACCTTAAATAATTACAAAACTTTGCTACTGTTAACAAACTTATGTTTTCATCGATATCTATATATAAAAAAAGGCTCTTTAAGAAACATAGGTAAAAAAATGGAGCTTTTGTAGCGTTTGTTGCGTTTATCCACGCCATAATATATACCTTCGAAAGAAAAATACATATATCTCGAAAACCGTTTAACTCCTGTTTTGTTATTTTTAATTGGTCTTGAAAAAGAAAATTTTAAAACTATAAATAGCTTTAGCCATCCACCTAGCATGATGAAAAGCTTCAGGGGTTCTAAATGATGTGCCACGAGGAGGAACTCCACCTGAAAATATAATTGTGAGCTCTAAAAGTTCATGATAATCTTCTCTTAATTTTCGCTCGCTTAAATTTTTTTTTGTAAACTCTATTGTACCATCTAGTGGCTCTTTTAATTTATCAATAACAACTTTATCGTATATTCCAACTTTAAATTTATTTTTTGTTAATTTTATTCCAAACTAATTAAAAATTTTTGAAAAGAGCAACATTGGGACCTGATGATTTTTGAATTTGATTTTCAAAAACACATTTTAAAATTAATTCAGAAATATGATATCTTCATGGCATATAAAGAATATTTTTATTTAACTCTTATTCTAAAAGTATACAAGCACCAGTGAGAGGTCCAGTATTTGATGCTGTTGTGTCACAACATAAAGCCTAAAATTTATCTACAAGACACCATTTTTTCTAAGGCATTATAAACCGCTAAAGCCTGGTTTTTTTCATTTCCGGATGGCAACTTAGGCACACTTATTAATTTTTCTTCACCTTTATAAGTTATAAAAGTTATCTGTTGGTAACCTATCAATTAGCTCCTTGTTTGTTAATGACGGGAGCAATTTTCCATCCAATGAACAGTTATAGCATCCATGTTGGTTTTAAAAAAAAGAGTGTTAACTTTAATAGCATAATCTTTTCGAAAATGTTCACGAAAACGATGAATTGAAGAGCGATTAATGATTGAGTCATTTACATTATGACCAAGAGCTTCAGCTGTAACTATTAGTACAATTCCGCATATCTATCAAATAATTTACAACGGTTCAATGTTGCAGCTAGATTTTCTGTTATAATATTTTTCTGCGCCCTTATTCTTTTAGTCATCTTTTTAGAACTATAAAAACCAACTGATTCTAATGACGAGTTATACAACGAAAATCCATCAATACTAATGAAATTCAACAGTCTCAACTAAAATGTTTAATGATTATTGCTTATAATGGTTATAAGCATTCTTTTTTTTTTTTTTGTATCTTGACTTTTATTGAAAAAATCACTTGAAAACCTCTAATATAGGTTTTTTTTTTATCGTTTTATGGAATATTCTTCGAAAATTCGAAGTCAAAAACCTTAAAATGCTGTGTCCCATAATTTAATTCCAAACGATCTTAAATTTAAATTTAATAAATAAGAATATTATTTTTTTATACTAAAGAATAAAATGGAGGGGTGTCCCGAAAGAAGTTTTGAAATTTGAAAAATAAGGACCATTCTAGTGACCCATTCAAAGATCGGACTAAGCTGGTTAACTTCGTACAAACGTTATCGATTTTATTTATTTATACAATATTTTATTCTAGTAATCACTTATTTTTCTGATTCCCTACTTAATTGATGTACTCAGTATACTAAACTTTAAACCTTATAAATCTTCTATAATATGTAAGTTTTTTTGTTATGTTGAAAATAAATATACTTAAACTTTTGTGAATTTATAATGTATGTAAAGCCACTTCTTGCACTTATTGAAAGATTATTAAGTGAAAGAGTAGTGAACCGAAGTAACAGATTTTGAGTCCTTTTATATTAAATTTAAGGCATCTATATATGCAAGAAGTGTCACGGCCTTTTAATATTATCTGTTTATTACTCTATTGTGTTAGTTATTACATGTTATTTTATTTAAAATATATGATTTATCACAACTAAACAATTCCTTATAGTTGTTGCATTATATTTTTATCAATTCCTTTTCTATACATAATTCTCGGAATAGTTTAAAAGAATGACATGAATAATATACAGAGTGGCCCACCACTCGCTGACAATTTAAATAACTTTTGATCCAGTTAATATTTTTAGCTGATTTTTTTTTTAAATAATAGTTATACGTTAGGTCCATAGCTATATCTCAATGATTAATTTTTTTATATTTTATTAAAAATATTATTTATTTTAAATTTTAAATAAAATGTAAAAAAACATCTAAGATAGCTATTTTGGTAGAGTAGAATTTAAGAAAAATTTTAGTAAAAAAATATCTTATTAATATTGAGTAGTAAATATTCTGTAGCGTTTTGAAGTTTGTGAAAATTTGAATTTTCATGTATTATTTTACGGTATTAAACATTGAAATACGTATTGAGAAAAGGACAGAAGAAAACGCTATCTTTTCATGATTACTGTGTATACATATGATGATAATGTGTATACATTACAAACTTGGCATTAATACCATGATAAGAAATTAGATAAGGCAATTATTACTTATCACTCTCANTTAAAAAAAAAATCAACTAAAAATATTAACTGGATCAAAAGTTATTTAAGTTGTCAGTGAGTGGTGGGCCACTCTGTATAATTAATTTGATGACTAATAGACAATGTTTTATAGACTACTGAATAATGAGTGGTGTATGTATTATAACAATTTACTCAAAATATAAAAATAAATAACCTTGTTTTATTTAAACTATTCATTAGCTAATAAAAAAATTGTTATAGGTTCCTATTTAACCTAAATTTATCTCTAAAATCTAACATATGAAATAATTTTTTCTTACAATAAACTTGATATTTACTATGGTTCATAAAAATAAATCAAATTTTAAGCTGTAATTTTTTTACCTTAAAAAGGTATTCTTAATAAATCATATTGTTTAATGTAATAACCGCCGAAAATCATATGATGGCTATGCAAAGAGAGCAAAATATTTAAGATCGATTCACACAATTTCACTGTAAAATTTAATGTTAATTATTTCAGCAATCGAAACCTTTTATAACAGTAAATAATCAAACTATTTAATATAACTAATTCTGTTTCTGTGTAGATACTCTGAGAACGCCAAAATTACAGCTGAAAGATTTAAAGACAGACCAATGTCTCCAGCCGATTCTGTAATATATTGGACTGAATATGTTATTCGGCATAAAGGTGCACCACCTCATTTAAAATCTCCTGCCCTCAACTTAACGTGGTACCAATATTTGTTAATAGATATAATTTCAGTGATTATTTTAGGGTTATCAATTATATTTTATATTTTATACAAAGTATTTACGATTACTAATAGACTAGTATTAAAAAAATCTATGCATATGCTACGATATTTTTTATATAATAAAAATAAATCTGATTGAACTTAAAATTTGTAAATAAAAATTTAGCTCTAAATGAACATATTTCATACTGTTATAATAATATTATTACTATTTACTACGACATAAATGTTAAACAGGATACATTTTTTGTCATTAATACTGCAAATATTTTATTATTGATTTTATTCATTATATATATATAAGTAATTTAAGAAAAGTATCATCATATATCGTTAATCAAATATAAAAATACTAGCATAAATATTTGCAAAAATAATGAGTAATATTTCATTATCTAAAATCATTAATGAGTTATTTTAGTTTAACTCAAAATTATTTTTATAAGAAATTTCATAAATTAAAAAATATTTTTCTCATAATTTGAACAAAATTAATAAACAGAATGTTCAGTATATAAGGAAATAGGTCAGTTGTTACAAACAATGAGAATAATAAAAACCCGTGTTTTTATTAACTTAACATTATATTTATAGAGTGATAAAATTGAGGATAAAGCACTCAAATATTATTATATATTTTCAATTTTTTTAAAGGAAAATGTTGTTTGATTCAAAAAATCATACAATAATTTTTAGTAAAAAAATTTATTACTTTAGGGCTAAAAACCTAAATAATAATTGTCTTAAAAGTTCTCACTTAATTATTATTTAAAGAAACGGTAGCACACTGTGGACGTGGCATAATTGGGTAGTAGTAGATGATATTTGTAAGTGATTAAAATCACTATCATAAGAACGCTTCGATGCAAATCTGTAGATAGTGTTTAATTTTAAGAAATTGGTGAATAATTATAAAAACAATATCAACTCCTATTTCCTTAATTATATCCTGATTAGTAATTATTAGAATCAAAAATATTATAATTTTATAATCAATTATTTTCAAATTATTATTGATTTTGATTTTTAATATGTTAATTGTAATCATTTTTAAACTTTTTTTTTTGTCCTTTAAAATGAAAGTTTATAATAAAAAAAATGAATTTATTACCATAACTTTTAGCTCAACTTGCAAGTTTAAAATTAACATCATTAAATAGAAAAAAAAATGAAAAATAGATTAATATGCAGTCAGGAAATTTTAAAATAACTATTTACGGTAAATTTATCAGAAAAGCTTAATTTTTTTGTATTTTTATCGTAATAGATCACTTAAATAGAAATCATAGTTATCATTTCTTATTAACTTTTGTTATTTATTTTAATTTGTTCATTTTTCAATAAGTTATGCCAGTTTTAAGTATTAAAATATTAACACTTTATACAGTGATCTTTACATAAAAAGTAAACATCAAACTAAAATAAAAAAAGGACAAAAATCTCTAAACTATAACAGTCAAAAATAAAAGATCGGTTAATCAAATAAAATATATTATTAAAACAACGTTTTTTTTTCTAACGTATCATTAAATTTAAAATAAGAGTTCCCATCAAAGAAAATTAAGTTTTAGATTTCTTTTTCTCTAAAGAGATGAAAAAAAAAAATGATTTAAGGACAAATTATTGTAGAATTTTTAGAATTAACAAATTTTTCCATTACAAAAGTTTTAAACTTTTGATAGTTTTCAAAAAAATGAGTGTCTTATCTAATACTGTTTTATAAATACAAAAAACATTATCCTCAATTTTGGGTATTTTTAGAAATGTGTCAAAGTTTACGGATCTTGTCAGTAATTTACACATAATATACAGTGAATATTTTATCATAACCCACTCAATTACTTACAGAATAAATATAATTTAAACATTTTTTTTTTGGTTATCTTTAGTTACAAATTATTTTTGAATTATTTATTATGTAATACTTTTTAAGTTCATCTCTTATACCTTGTAAGGATAACAACTTTATTCTTTTAAATGGGAACACATATTTTGAATTCAATAAAATGTTTGAATTTTTAATATAATTTTATTCTTTTATTAGATATAAACATTTAAAGTTTCAAATTTTTGAGTTAATTTACATGTATAATACACAAGGGATTACAAATACAGGTAGCTAATTATTTTTTTAAGACGACGCTATCACAGTCACGGAGAGTTTATTGTCAATTACGACGACTATCAATAGATATACTTTCTGTATTGCCAGTTAATGTATTTCTAAACTCACAACAATGTGCCTTACTAACATTGGTAATAAATGTTGTGTACCTACAAATATCGATGTCATAAAAAACCAATGTGTAATTAAAGTTAACCAAAAAAAAAAAAATGTTTAAATTATATTTATTCTGTAAGTAATTGAGAGTGTTATGATAAAAATACCACTCTTTATAGTGAGTTTAACGTTGATAATGGTGAAATTGTCCCATAATAGGTATTCGCGATTTTTTTGTAATTATTGTGGCCTTTAAGTTAAATCTTCTTCTTCTTCTTTTCCCTCGCCTTAATTCCAATTACTTCAGGTCGGCCTTCCCTTATACACGAGTCCAGCCTAGAGTTAAGTGGTGATGTTCCTACACCGTTGACACTACAAGCGTTGGGTAGACCTGTACACATGACTGGTGAAACAGATACCCCACAAGTTTAAAGTACACTTTAAATTGATAATTATCGTAATTATTGTCTAAAATCAACTTTATTTCAGTCGATTAAATATAAGCAAATTAAATACGAAAGTTTTCATTAAAAAAACTTAAGTTTATATAAATGTAACAGGTAAAAAGAAAAGAATCACAATTTTATTAATATACAGCTTATGGAGTACCTTAATTTAATAAAAAACATGAAGTATTTCGATGATATTGCTTGACGCATAGTAAATTAAAATAAAAAGCATCCCTGTATAGTTCATATTAATTTCACTAACAGCGCTATTAGTACGGTTCCAAAATATTCATAATCTCGCATTATCAGGGATTTGGAAATTACATAGGGTTAGGTGTGTAATTGATTTTTGTTTGTCTGATTTGTTTCAACTATTAGTTTTTAATTTAGTGTCTTATTCTCTTGTTAAAATCATAAGTTTTTTTGAAAAAATAAAAAAGAGTACTCAAACATATTCAATTAGTGTATACCAGTTTATACCTAACAATTTTTTTATAAAAAAAGAAATATATGTTGAGTGTCATTGTGTACCAGTGACAGGGATATACATGTTTTTTTAATTTTTTTTTTCATCAAAATTTTTCTAACACTTAAGGAAAAATGGGTGTTAAAAGTTTTCAAATTATTTATGATAAATCTACTGCTATATTTATGCCTGGTCAGTCAGTTAGTGGAAAAGTATTACTTGTTACTAATAAAACAATTAAAATAAGAAGTGAGTATCTATATTAAAATGTTATGTGATATTCTATTTGGTAACTAATTTATTGTTTATCATTTTTTAAAGGTATAAAAATGACAATCAAAGGAAGAGCTTCTGTATCATGGCACGAAAAACAAATACTCGCAAAATCAACTAAATATTATACTGCTAAAGAAGAATACTTTAAAAATCAATTTACTTTATTTGGTGATAACGGTACAAAATAACATATAATTTTATATTACCAAACATTTTTTTGATAAAAGTACCCCAATAAATTGATTTTAATTAGCTTGAACACTAATTTAGACTAAAATAGAATTTTTATTATTTAGGAGAAGTAGACTTAGAGGAGAATGAACATGATTTTCCATTTAGCATCTTACTACCTCAAAAGTTACCTTCAACCTATAATGGTAGATATGGTAATATACTGTATAAAGCAAAAGTTACTATTGATATACCTTGGGCGATTGATAAAGTAGCAAGGAGTACATTTCAAGTAATTTCGCCGTTGGATTTAAATGAAGAACAAAATTTAGCTGTAATAAACACAAATTTAAAAGATGTTCAAGGATTAATATTGTATTTAACTTATAGGAGCCAGTTAAAATTGAAAAAGAAAAAAATTATTGCTGTTGTTGTTGTCGATCAGGGCCAATGAATTTAATTGTTTGTTTACCATATTCTGGTTTTGTGCCTGGACAAAATATTCCTTTTGACATTGAGTTGAATAATGACAGTAATGTTGCTATAAAATGTGTTAAAATAAAATTAGAAAAAGTGATAATGCTTGATTTGTAATATACTAAATAAATAATATTAATTTTATTATTTTTTTGTTCAGGATACATATTTTAAAGCAACACGGCCAAGTACAAAAACTAATAAAAAATCTAAAAATTTAGCTAAATTAAGCTTAAATGGTATTAGGGAACATGATACAAAAACATTGTCGGAACAAATATTAATACCTAGCTCTTTAGAATTTTCAAATTTAAAAAATTGTCAGATTATTGAAGAAAAATATGTTTTAAAAGTAATATGAAATTTTATATATTTTTACTATAATTTATTTACAGTAGTTTGTATTAAAATTAAGGTTGAAACTTGTGTTGGTATATTGAACAGAAATACAAATTTACACGCAAATATATCAATAGGAAATATTCCATTAGTTATTGCTCAAGATGCACTCCCAATCAAATGTCAAACTTAACTAGCAAATCTCACTTCAATAGTTGGGTTGTTTTATTCTTAAACCATTCTTGAATATATAAAATCAACTTTTTATGATTAAATATAGCTTCAAACACTTTCAGTTAATCCACATTATCCAATATTCACCAATTAAATATACTTCATAAGTAATCAAATGATTTTCTATCCCTAAATTCATCAATTTTTAAATTTCTACAATCCCAATCGAATATTATCTCTTGAAGTCATATTTAACTGTGTCATAATCATTTGTGTTTCTACTTTTAAAAAACATTAAATAATAAAGACTTCATAAAAAAAATTTGAATATTTAACAAATACTATTTTTTACTATCCTGCACTGCATTTTATAAAATATTATATTGATAACAGAATATTAGGCAAACTATTATAAAACACCTGTATATTTTTAATACATTATTATTATAATTTATTCTTCTTCAGGTTTTTCAGTCTTCCGACTAGTTTTGCCTTCCTACAATTTTCCTCCATTCTTCCCATTATTTATTAGGGATTCAATAATCTTTTTTTAAATTAGTGATGTATGAAATTTAAGAAAAGCATTGTAAGTGGCACTAAAAATATGTAAATTTTACTAGTCAAATTGAATGTCTAATTAGACTAAAAATGGAATGATACTATTTTTACTCCATATCCTAAAGGGAATGACTACTATTTTGAAATTGACTTTTTTTAAAGTTTTTCTTTGCACGAAAGGCATAAATATATCCTTGCTTGATGAATTACCTGCACCAGTTTTTTCTGTAACTATAAATCATTCTCAAACTTTATGTAAAAGAATTTATAATGATGAACATATAAAAAAATTTTTGTTATTAAACCAAAAAAAATTGATGCTGATCTTGTAGAGTTAATGAGCTCAGTATTTGTTTTTTACTTAGGTGCTGTACTTGATATGACAATAACTCATGTAGTTGCATCACCTTTTCTTAGTAATTTCATAGGTTAATTTTTTTGTTACATTCTAATCCATAAGTAATCCCTCATTTGTTAGACGATTTAGGGAAAAATTTAAAGTTATAATCTTGAAGTTGTTGGAATAGAATATTATGAAATATAATTATTATATTTCACATTGTGAAAAACATTTTTTTTTGCTTCATTATATATTAATAATATTAAAATAATTATAACTCTACTATTTAATATTTTATTTCAGATATATATATATATTTTTTAATTATTTTAACATTTATATACAACAATTACGAATTACATAATTAAAAAAATTAAGATTATAATTTCAAAATATCAAAAGAATGTAATATTTATACGTATTCTATAGTATCTCAATTATATTGTTGATAAGCAAATAAAAAAATTGTACACCTTAAATTATATATTGATATTTGTGCATTTACATAACATTTTTTTATATATTAATAAATGTTACAAAAATATTACCACCTTAAAAATTTTTTTAACATATATTCTTAACTATTAATATAAATTTGTAATTTTTTTTTTTATGAAATTGTATTTTAAACTATATGTTGTAAAGACACAACACTATAAAAGTTTTTTACGTTTTACATTAATCCTAATCTTATGTGTAAAAAAACTATGTTAATGTTATATATAAAATGCCAAAATGATTTATATACTCTTTCATCTGTTATAATCTCTGTATTTTATGCTTATTTACCATTAAACAGTTATGCTGTAAGAATTAGACAATGATGATTTTTCAGGGGTAAAAAGTATTATAAAAATGCAGAGCAAACCCTTATTCTCGCCTGTTCTTTTCGTGTTCAACATATTGTTACACGGATATTATGATCATCATTGTCAAAGTTTTTACGTGCTTGATTTGTGAATTAAAACTTGAATTTGTTTTACTTTGTTTCTCATTCTATTAATATTATCACTGAAGTTATTATAACAACTGAGAAAAAATTATCAGGTAAGATTTTTAAATCCATATGAATATTCATATTGTTATTTTATGACCCTCAAACCACACCCCAAATTAAAAGTAACTCTCACTCTTACTTTCAATCAAATAATTCTTTTTCTTTTTATTAATTTTTGAGTTACGATAGTATCATACAAGAAAATATTTTATGGTAACCTCCATAACTATGTAAAAACAAGGATAGCAAGGATGCTTTTTATTTTGCAACTAGACTAATTTATTATATTGGAAACATTACAATTGGTACTCAATATAAAAAAAATCTATCTACTTATAATTTAAGAGAAACTTATATACTATATTTTGTTCAATTTTCAAACTTATTTAAGAATCTTTTTGGGGTAAATACTTTGCATGTTCTTTATATTCTCCATTAAATTAGGGTTATTTAGGGGAGGATATGCAATTAATTTTTTACAAAATATAAATTAGAGATAACATTTTTTAGTATTTTTTATACAAAACATTATAATGAGTCATAATAATTTTAGCACAAGTACTCATTGAGTTACAAGCGTTATGATATAGTGTAGTTGGGTGCATTTCATATTAAAGTACTTATACTCCTTTTCAAGCACTATATCTATTAAAATACTTGTAATTCAATGAGTACTTGTTTTAAAAATATTATAGATCCATCAAAATTTTTTGTATAAAAAGGTTTAAAAATAACTATCTCAAAATATTAAAAAAATATTAATTTTTATTTATTTTTCTTAGTCATGATCTTCTTCTTCTTCTTCCTCGTCTTAATCCCAACTACTTGGGGTCGGCCAAAACCCCATTTTTTTTTAGTCATGATAAATAATAAAAAATATTTAAGAAGGTAAAAATTATTTTAAAAAAATTTCATCAAAATGATATAAATTATCAAAAATTATAAACTTTGTCAATAAAATTAAAAACAGCATTATATATAAGAGTACTTAACTTAATATGTGTCTATTTTCTTTAAATGTAATTTTTTTCTACACTTTTAATTTTTATAAAAAAAAAGAAATTGTTGAGAACTGTAATGTTAAAAAAATATTCTAATAGTAATATCATAGTTAGCGATGACGTAGCCAAGAAATTCTAATCACGAGGAGCTAATACTAAAAACATAATGGTAGTTTTTTTAATAATAAAAAATCTGGTTAAAATATATTATAATATAGTAACGTATTCCATTTAGTACTACATCAAGTACTAAATTTAGTTTAGACAGCTAAATTTTTTCCGTGGGTCTTCCAAATGATGAAGTCGGTTAGGTCCTGTGTTATACTCGCCATTCAATGGTAATAACAACACAACTTAATTTTTTTATTATAATTTAAAATTGAACAATATTTTTAGCTAAACCTTTTAAATTTTATGAGATTAAATTGTTATACATTTTTTTTCGAAGGTTTCAGATTATTTGAAGAAAGAGGAAAAAATTTATAATTACTTTCTTATTTTTTATACAACACCTGCAATATACTTAATATATTTTGATAAAAGAAAGTTCCATTATAATTAAATTTAAATTTGAAATTAAGTTAAAACTTTTTCTGTAAATTTGATTTTAAATTTAATTTTCTTCATTGTCCAACATTGCAAAAGGGTTTTCATAATGAGTTTTTAATTTTTGATAAACACTATTAAATTTTGATTCATTTTGAAACATTAAATAAATATTTATTTTTTCAAATTTCAATCTAAATATTTAATTATTATTGATAAAATATTGAAATGATATGTAGGATGAACGAAGTTTCAAAGAGATTAATTTTATCAAAATGACTTTTTATTGTGTTTTTCTCATTAATACTCATATTCAACTGGACTAATATTAAATACCATTACATTAAATTATATTTAGCTTAAAAAGTTCCTTTTTTTTTATTAGTGAAAATATCCTAAGAATAGTTGTTATTGAAAATTTGATGTTTGAAACATCACAAATATGAATTTTAATGCATTGGCAAAAATTAAATTTATATAACTTCTCTATGCAATAAAATTGCATTTAACATTTTTAATTTAATTAATAATATGAGTAAAATTGAAGTTTGATTAAAGTTATTGATCATGTCTGGTTATATGATCGCTTACATTAATCCTTATGAATTTCTGGTACTGAATTTTAATATTTATTATAAAATAACGACAGTAATAAGATTTTCCTCCAAACCAAACTCAACCCAATCAAACCCACTCTCGATTCGTCGTAACGACAAACTTCCACAGCGTAGCAGTTTTTCTCTAATTAACATAACATCGCAGCTGCATATTACAAGAATTTAAAACGTTTATATCAATGTTTTGTGTACTAGGACTATACATGTTATCACGAGGTCAATTATCACTATCGAGATACTATGTAGCGCTCGTTCTAGTCACTTTTGCACAACCACTTCGTCGCGACCGCACATTGGGTACCAGACTATACAAATAACGTTAGATCATTACAGCCACAAAGAGCCTCTGGACACCACCTGGAGGCACCGAATATACGATCGCATACATTAGATCAAAAAGTAAGCAAATAGGTCAATTGTTACAAACAATGAGAACAACAGAACTCTTTTCCTCAATTACTGAACACCTATATATATATATATCTGGTACTAAAATTTGATATTTGACACTCAATACCGATGCCAACTTAAAACATTAACTATGTAGACACGAAATACCTCATAAATCTTCTGTAATTTAGATTTTTAACAAAATCTTATATGATAGTTTCTTTGGTATGAAACGAAAATAATTAGGTGTTTATGATACGATTTGAAGGAGGTCATAAAAATTTTTTTTTGCTACACCACACCCCCTGACGAAAATAACTCAATTACGCCACTTAGTGTATATTTTTAAATACCAAACATTTATTGGCCCGAATTTTGTCGAAAGCCGTAAGCAGTGTCTGTTTTGTTCATAGAGTACACTATGACCTTGACATTAAATAAAAGCCATTTTCTTCTCCTTAAGTATTAAGAAGTCGCCGCGAGCTACTATACTATGACTATAACTGTAGGGCCTTAGAATTTTAGAGGGTCAAATAATCTTTAAAACTTGTTCGCGTAAAAGCTAATTTTTAAATAACTTTTTAAGCACTAAGATTTTGAAACTGAACTACATTATTGTAATTAAAAGTAAGCTAGCCTATCACTTGGCTAATGAGAATCTTAGATCGACCTCAAAATATAAAACAAATTCTTTGCAACTTCCTGTTATAAAGAACTAGTTGATTTTTTTGCATATACCTCAAGGTAATAAAATTTTTATAAGATGATTTTGATCAATGCGCAAAAACGACTTAAAATTGTATTAATTTATGGTAAAATTTGTAGTAATTTGTGAACTGGCTCAATCAAAATTGAACACTTTTACCTGTTAGTAGCGTTGCGGTGACGGATTGACGTTGAAAAAAGAAGGACGCGCGCATTCCTTGACCGAACCGGCGACGCCTGGGCGTCGCTAAGGCGGCAGCGGCGACACACGGCTGTTATCGTCATGCTATTCTATACGAACGTTAGTTTCGCGCGGAACACAAACGTCGTAACGCCGTCGCCGTCGCTCTCAAAATCATTGCGCGTGTCGTTCGGTACGTCTTCGACGGTGTAAGCATTTTGTAATTATTCTGATAGAACGCAGTGCCGGCAGTGCGTGTGCCGCAGCTGAATAAGCCATACCGTTCCGGACAGGATCGCACGGTATATTTGAGTTGTTAAACTGCTACGGTGCCGTCAAGCTGTCGTCGTACAAGAGCGACTCGTCGGTTGCCGGCGGCAGTACCACCGGCAGCTACGGCCATGCACAGCTTTCAAACAACCTCCGACACGGGCACCACAACCAGCAACAGGGTTCGGCCGCTTACAACAGTGGCGGTAAAACGTACCGACATAAAGGTCGGTCGAAATCGGCCACCAAATATATGGACGACAAGCCCAAGAAGAAGAAGAAGTCGTCCAACAGCGTGTCTCTCGTGTCTATACCCAATACCATCAAGTTGTCCATGCTAAACAGCGGATTGCTACCACTATGTGAGCAAAACAAATACTTTATTTATTTATAAAACCTATGCCCGCGCTGTGTCAGCATATTTTTAGGAGTTCACAGATCAAATAGTACTTGTTTTTTTTTACTTAAAGTATTGAAACTTTATCTATGTTAATACATTTTCATTTAAAGTACCGTATAAAACGTGAAATAAATCCGTTAGGCTTATTTAAGGAATTGTTGTTTAAAATAAGATTTCTGAGGATCAAAACGATATTAATATGCAGTGACATGAACAAATCGTAAATGTTCGGACAAATTGAAACATGTCGATTGAGTGTATTACAATATTAAACACGAAGTTATTGCTCAAGTGTTTAATATTCTCATTTCGATAAAAATTATACCGAGTAAAATATGTTTTGTTTCTGATCGTAATCAAGCTTAAGAGTAATGCGCACAAAAAGCAATAACTACAAAATATTATTGCTACTAAAATTTTATATTTTTACCCAGTCAATTAGGAAATTTATCCGATGAAATACATCAATCCAGCTCAAGTTTTACGACACTTAGTTGGTTGAACTAACAATGTAATACTCTAATTGTAATAGGTTACAAGTCTATATTAAAGTTTACAAGTACATTTTTTTAACGATTTATCAAAAGTGATACATTTGATAAATTCGAGTATTGGAAATTGCTATATTTTTCTATACGATTGTGTATGTGCAATGCGTTTCCACACAATTACATAAAACAGTTGCTGACTAAATAGTTTAGTTCATTTTCAAATGAATCTTCAGATAACAGCTAAAATAGTTTCATCTTAAGAATACTCAAAAATGATAAATGTATTTTTATATTAACTTAATATATATAAAAATTAAACAATTTTCAGCTACAGAACAAATAAAAGATGAGTAAACCATTTCAGTACGTATTAGTTAAATGTGATGTCAGGCGTTATACTTCTACAGAGTGCCCCACCGTGATTTACTAATTTCGCTATATAACATTATATTAAAGTTAGTAAATCGCGATGGAACACCCTATATATAGTACTAGGTATGAGTCTAAACAAAATGAATCAAATTTTTTTTCTAATGAGCATTCAAAGCGGCGATAATCTTTTTTCACTTGGTTATTTGTATTACAACAACACTAAAATACATTTGTTTATAGTATGGTTCCATAAACACTCACAAGATATTTTCAAGTATAGTAGAGCTAATCATATTATTATTTTTTAATAATAATGGTTATTTGTCGACTTGCTATACATAAAAAAATGTAATTTTCTACTACGATCCCTTATACACTAAACTCGGATCGACTTTCGATTTTCAAATAACAACTCCAATTTTTTTTATGCAATCACATTTATTTAATTGGAAAAATATAAACGCCCAAATAATAATTATTTCGAATGGAGCTATCAACTTGTGTTTAAAATTAAAATTCTATTGTAAACTAATTTCAAATAATAAATATTGAAACTCCACAAAGTAAAAACAACTTGGATGCTTTTATAATAACTTAAGTGTAGGCTGTACTAGTTCAGTAATTTATAATCAATATTCGTTATACATATCTGATTTTTGACAGGCATCTTTTGAAAATTTACTAAAAGCTATTTCAAAGGAAATAATTGTCTGATATGATAGTCAAAGGCTGACAAAGTAACCATTTGGACAAAATGAAAATACAAAAGACGTGTTTATTTACTTAGATTTGTAGTAGTAAAATTTCAATTTCAATTTTTGTTATGCCCAATGAACAATTATGTATCTCTTTAGTACGTTAAAAAAATTGTATAAGTGATTGTTCACGTTTTGTAAAAATAATTTTTACTTTTTTACAAAATAATAAATATGCGATAGGCCTGACTGATCTAATAAACATTTCACATTTATTTTTTAAATAAAATTTAGCTTTCCCGTCTTTAACAGCTAAAATCATATAGGAATAAAACTTTATCTCAGTGAACACTAAAAAGAAAAATGTATCATTGCAAAAGTCAGAACTAATTCCCTCTGAGACTTATCAACGCTAAAAATGTCGATGTACAAACACGTATCGTACAAACGAAAAAATGCTCTGGCGCAAACAAAGTAAATTGTTTTGCTTGACATTGACATTTATGAGAATGGAGTGACAGGATAAAAGAATCATTTTATACAGAATCAGTAATCTTCTTTGTGTATTAGCTGCTTTTACATTGAACGCAATTGAAAATGTATAAATTGATACATTGTTGTGGTTACAAATTACATTTTGAAATTATTTTCACGACAACTGAACGAACTCATTTGATCTATTTTACCTACAAACTAGAGTGGAGATGTGCCATTACAATGTATGGAATTAGCCCATTGATAAAATACAACTTTCCACGAGCAACAAAATTAAATATCGTTAGTGCACCAAAAGTTACTATAATGGAAACTCGTGGGAAAATGTTCAGATGTTTACGTGTTGTAAGTGACGATTAATAAATTACACACGCACAAATATTTCGTTTTTTATTGTAAAACCTTTCAAGTATGAAAAACAGAATATTCAAAATCATTTTTTTTACCCTAGCTAGTTTAAATCAAATGTAATGAACGTCTCATTGAATTTGATAAATTTATATAATTAGAATAGAAAATCTAATAGAGGTAAATAATCACAAGTTTTGCTTTCTTAGGATAAAAAAAAAAAGTGAAATCCTAGCGCGTAATACATTTATAAATTTACTATTGTTTTTACTTATTAGTTATAAGTAAAATGAATAATGATTCATTAATTTTTTATTAAATTACGAAATTTATGTAGTTTCTGATAATTTTTTTTATTTATTTCAAATAAAGAAATTTTATTTTGAATTCTAAGAGACTTCGTCTAATTGACGGAAACTAGTTTAAGTCACTCAAATAGATGTACATATTTTAAGGAGTAAGTACTAATGTTAGGGCCACACGATAACATTGTGAACTAATACACATGAGTTTGCAAGTAAATGTAATAAATATAAAAAAAGTGTAATACCTTACAAGTTCATTATTTAACTTTTGTTTTTGATAACTGTTAATTTTCAATTTAATAATTACACAATGTTCGAAAAATAATTGATAGTTTTTAGCTTAGTGACTTAGTATAGAAAATATTTAAGTGGATTTTTACTTTTTTTTTCATGAGAGCAGTTTAAAAATATTTCCCTTTTTTATTATCTCTTATGCTTTATCACTTTTTTTAATATAATCTAAAGATTCAAATATTAAGTTTTTACTTTGCAAATTTATACATAATACGTTTTACTCTAAGGTAAATATAACTACACAGTTAACTCAATTTCGTCAAAAAAGCACTTGACTCTTTTTCCACTAAGCCAGCGATATAAAGTTTAAGTCAGTCAGATTGAATTGATAGAAGTGGGTTGGAAAGCGTTCGCGAAACTTCTATCTTGAAAATCATAAGTGTACAGAAGTAAAATGAAGATTACACGAGTAAGCACATTATATAAATTGAAGAAAAATCTTAAAACGTACACTTGAATATCTTGAAATAATTTTCATTTTTAATTATAATTGATACGCAATTCGCATCGATGCATTCTAACCGCTTTAAAATTTTTTATTACAATTTTACGGTACCGTTTATACTGAAATCAAAAATACATAGAAAAAAAATCATAAATTGAACACTTCATGGAATCTGTCTAATTTTTGAGTAAACTGTGGTAAAAATCCATACGTGGTCAGAGTCTAATATTGGAATAAGTAATTTAATTTTATAGTTATAAACGAATTGTTGATATCAAATTTTGGATCCTTTTTACATATTTTTAGTTATTACAGAGTTATCGAGTTAAAATTTTTACGTTATATGAATTATAAATTATTTTTGAAACTTTCATGTTATATTTCACTTTTTAAGAATACTGTTATAAGTATTTAAATAATGTCTATGAGACTTGAAATTTAAACTAATATATGTTGAATTTCTAAATTCTGAAAAACTAAAAAAAAAAAAAATTTTATTAATAAAAAAATGTAATTATTCTAAATTTTTCCTGTGTGAATGTAATCAAACTTTAGCCGTACTTCACTTTAATTTATTCATTATAAATAACATTTTTGTAAAGCAAAATATACGATATTATCAAAAAGTTGTTATAGAACTATCAAAAGTAAAATGTAATTGGTTAATTGACTTTTACAAATATATGATATGCTACTTTTTTTTTTGAGCCTGTTGATAGTATATTTATAATCCGAATGATAAATTCATAATACAAGACGATAATAAATGTCTTTATTCAAAGTTCATATGTTTGAAAATAATACGTTAAGTTAAGTGTGTATCTATTTAGCGTGTAATTAATTGAAGAACTGTATAGAAACTTAACATGATTTTCATAACAATTAACTTTGATTCTTGAAGGTGTATTTTATATATTATTTAGCGAGCAAGCAGTTTACATAGAATAGCGCTTAAAGTTTTGAATTTAGCTTAAAGTGACCTTTCGTTACAATCATTATTATGGTAACAAAATATAAAGTTTACACCAAGACCGATAAGGGCAGTAAGCCTTTATTTGAATTGATTCAAGTACTTTACGCAAAATTTTCTAAAGAATAAATATATTTAAGAACACACTGTGACCTTTGTACGGTTAGGCAATAGAATTATTCATTGTAAAATTTCACTCAAAAAATTAATTTGCTAAGATTTTATTCTATTAGATACAATACCTCAAGTTAAATGTATTAATACATTTATTTGATACTGAAAAAAAGTTATCTCTTAACAATCACTTTAAAGATATTTAAACTATTCTACTTGAAATAATTTAATGTATTCCGATTATGTGTACGCTATTTTTAAACTGAACGACTAAATCTTTTAAACAATGGTAGTGGTAATATTCAGATTTTCTAAGTTTACTCTCAAATCACCCTTAAATAAGTCATTTGTTATTGACTTTAATAAAAGTTATAGACTGTAGCTTAAAAATATATGCGCCTCTTCAAATGGCCTTTGTTCTTAACCTCTTTAA